TGGAACCATGACTCTCTGTCCTTTGTCACTCACCCACCTTGGAAAAGACCCACATCATTCCCAGACACACACCCCACACACACCATCTAATCCCCGGGGACCCCCCTGGAGAAGATGGTCTGCGGACCCCGGCAATCCTTGCTGGCTATCCTAACATTCTTTCTTTTTCGTGCGTTAACCTGAAAGAACCTCCAGCATCCCGAATCACGCCATCTTCTCGCTGCAGGTGACTCATGAAAACCTCCGGCCCAACCAGTTTGGGAAGGGTGGGTGGTCAGGTTGAGGAAGCCTTTGGGATCATAAAAGCCACCTGTTTCCTTTTTGTGTGTCTTTGCTCACAATTAATTACCGCCCTCCTTATGGACGGCTGCAAAGTTGTGCTGGGGAGATCCTCAACCATATTTTACCCTCTCTTCTCTCCCAGACCTTACAAATCAAACATGTCAGCCTTGACTTACATTCCTGGCAGCGGGGAAAGGCTCCCGTTTCTCGTTTGTACGGTGTTTAATAAAAAGACGTAGATTTCTAATGTGGTTCTGAATTATTTATGTACACACGCCCAGACAAACAAACAAAACGAGAGAAAACAAAAACAAAAACAAAACCCTGAACATAAAATGCTGTTTTTCTTCTTTATTAGGAGCATAAGAGATGCTGATTGGCAGGACTATTGTCATAGAGTGCAGTCAGGCGTGTCCATCCCATAATTTTCCATTTATATTTCAAATCACATGTGTTCATACTCTTTCTTTCTTTCTTTCTTTCTTTCTTTCTTTCTTTCTTTCTTTCTTTCTTTCTTTCGCATGAATGTTCTATCTCTTCTCTCAGAGCTCTGGATATCACCCAGAGAGTTCCCTCTCTTTTCCCTTTCAAAACAACAACTCTGCGAGGTAGGTCAGGCTTAAGAGATAGCCACTTGTCCAGAGTTGAGCACTGAGCAGCCTGCTGAAATGGCAATTTGAACCTGGGACTTACTGATTTTCATCTAACACAGTGGTTCTCAACCTTTTTAATGCCGCGACCCCCCAACCGGTCGTAAGTCGAGGACTACTCAACCGGTCGTAAGTCGAGGACTACTCAACTGGTGCAGCACCGTTTGCAGAATGGGACTTTTGGCGGGCTCAGCAGGGCAGAGACAGCCTGGACAATTCCCATTGGCTTTGGAAAGCCAATAGACTTAGACTCTATTCAAGAGAGTCTATTCTATCGGCTTTCCAAAGCCAATAGAATAAAAGGGAGTAGCACAGCTAAGGAAAAGGGGGGAAAAAATGGCGGACTGCGTTGTTTGGCAACCCCCGTGAAATGGTCGTTCGACCCCAAATGGGGTCCCGACCCACAGGTTGAGAACCACTGTTCTAACAAATCCGTCACGGGCTCATTTTTTTTTTTCATACAGATAGTCCTGGACTTACCACAGTGTTTAGTGACCGTGCGAAGTTAACAGCACTGAAAAAATTGACTTATGACCATTTGCCACCCTTAGGACCACTGTAGCACACCCCCCCAGTCACATGATCAAAATTCAGATGCTTGTCAACCGACTCATACTTACGACCGTTGCAGAATCCTGGGCTGATGTGATCTCCTTTTACAACCTTCTGACAAGCAACCTCAAGAGGGAGGGCGGGTTTATTTAATAACCATGTTCATAAAAGGGGGCCAAATTCACTTAACCCCTGTCTCACTTAGCAACAGAAATATTGGGCTCAATTGTGATCGTAAATTGAGGACTACCTGTATGTCGTTTTCATGGGAGAAAGATGATGGGGGGGGGAGTTTATTCAGTTAGATAAGGACCACGGATGAATGCTGTTGGGGTCGAAAAACACACCTTGGCATTTTTCAATCGCCACTAAAATTACAGCCACCTCACATTCACAACCAGGACTACAAATACGCAAGGATACGACTCAACCAGGAGTCTTGAACGCTGTACCCCAGATTCTTGTTATGTTGGTGGAAATGCATTTTGTTCATGTCAGAAACTTCCTTCTCATTGAATGCATTGAATACACAGAAATGTTTACCGGCCAAAATGTTTACCGTCCAAGTGGCCGGCACACACCTGGAATGTTGCGTACGGTTTTGGTCACACATCATAAAAAAGATGTTGACACTTTGGAAACCGTACAGGGGAGAGCAACAAAGATGAGGAAGAGCTTGGAGGCCAAATCATACAATGAACAGTTACAGGAATTGGGTATGTCTAGCCTAGTGAATAGAAGGACTAGGGGTGACATCATAGCAGGTGCTCCAATATTTGAGCCTTGCCTTGACCTCCGGTGCTCTGTTTGCAAACTGTGGCTTTGGGAACACGCCGTGGGAACCTGACTGAACCTGACTCCCTTGTTCAAACAAACCACGATCGTGGGTGACGAGGCCAGCAAATCATTCCCCATGGGATGTTTCCCAGACTGGCCCTTGGATCGAATGCGGGGGGGGGTCTTCTTGCCCAGAACAGCCCTCTCATCTATGTCAGGCTGAAATCAAAAACTGGCTTAATTCTCCCGCAGCAGCAGGTAACCCTCCTTGGAGAATCCTATAAGCCTGGCAAAGAATGGTGGCCTCTTTTGTAAACCCAGATGGGCAGAAAAGTTAAAGGACTTCCCCCCCCTAAGGCTCGGGCTCCACCCCTCGGTGGGAAGAAGGAAAAACCAGTCTGGGAAACCCGAGACCAGGTCTCTGGGGCGCAACATTAAACCACTGTTACATGGGAGGTCAGGGAGAGAGGTCCTCGCCAACGCTCCAAGAGCTGTTAATTTCATTTACAAGCCAGCCGTCTGCTTTAAGCCCACACTGGCTGGCAATTAGTTATTAACCACTGAGGATTGTGGGAAACTCTTCATCAAGACCTCGGCCTGCTTCGGGGACCCAGCCCAAAGGAAGCTCACAGCGCTTCAAAGCCCAGCGTCCCGTCCCAGTTTTTGCTTGCAAGTTTTTCTCCCGGCCAGAAAATAATTTTAAAAGCCTCTCTCTGCTTGCAGGCGCTTGCCAGCGCAGATGGCTCCAGATGGTTGGCCTCGCTTTTCCCCAAAACAGTCCAAGTGAGGCTGTGTGAAGTTTGCAACTAAGGGTCTTTGGCCGTGGGCTTTTCATCGGGAGATTAATAAGTCCGGGAGGGGGGGGAGAAAATGGGCCATTCCCCCACCTTTCATTCTTTTCCAACATACCATTGTTGGCCTGCTGGTCATCCGAACTGAGCCGTGCCAATGATTTACTTTAAGGAATGCCAGCCGGGCCCCTTTTGAGAATGACGCCATTCCTGATCTGCCCTCCTGTTTTTAACCCTCGCTATTTACTTCGGCTTTCCAGGCTGACGTCTGTGCTTGGTTGCAGGCTGGAGATCCGTCTCCTCGCTTCCCACTCATATTTTCCCCCCCCCTGTAAATATTTACTTTCTCTTGTTTGTCAGCTTCAGAGTTAATACTGTCAAGATTCCTTCCCCCCCCTCCCCCCCCCGGCGCTGGCAGATAATAAAACTTAGAAAAAAATGATCCGGCTGTTTAATCTCAGAGCCAAGCAAGGCTCTAGTCCTCATGGTTCGGAGCGAAGATGAGGTCGGATAAGCTGCCGCTTTACATTAGCAGTGTCTGCACCGACCTTTTTTTGTTTTTTTCTTTCCTCACATGGACCACTTCTTCTCTCTTTCTGACACCCCTTTCTCCCTCCCACCCTCTTTTCACTTCTGGCTTGTTAACCCCAAATCTATTTTGCCTCCTGCAAGTTAAAATCATGGCATTTTTTTTCCCCCCCTCTTCCGTGCCCATCCATTTTCCTTTTGTGCTGTGCCTTTTCAAGGCTGATTGCGGGTTTGGAGCAATTGTTTTGGGAAAGCCCTGGGACTGGGTTTTAAAGCTTCCCCCCACCCTGCTCCCCTTAAACCTTTCCCACCCCCTCCAATTAGACTTAACTAGGAAACACCCGTCCGAAGAGCCAATCCGTATTTCCAACGAAGCCTTCTGGGAGAATGACAGAATTCCTACCCCACCGCCCAGCCCCTATTCCGAAAGGCAGTAACAAATTCTGCAAACCGCTCTGCCCGTTTCTCCAAAGGACTCCACTTTCCACCTTTTGCAAGCCGCTCGGCTCTGGGCAGGAACCGCGTTGCTGCAAGCAAGCCCGTGCCCGTTGCTTGGGCATTCGATGGCATCTGGGATGAGGTCAGGGAGGGGAGGGTGGCCCCACCCAAGATTGTGGCTGGCTAGAAGGAGAAGGAAGGGATTGGGAGGCAGTCTCAAGTTCCTTTTCCTCATTCTTCATGCCTTTGGTAATCGCAGGCCCCAGTTTTGCGTTTGTTCGAAAGAGCCCGGCTGCAAAATGCCAGGCGCGAGACACGGATCATTAATTCCAGCCTGCCTGGTACTGATTTTTCAGGTTGCCTTCCTTTGACCCCCCTTTGCAATCAACACACAATCAACAAAGAGGTGGTTAAGGATAGACCAGTGGTTCTCAACCTTTTTAATGCCGCGACCCCCCAACCGGTCGTAAGTCGAGGACTACTCAACCGGTCGTAAGTCGAGGACTACTCAACTGGTGCAGCACCGTTTGCAGAATGGGACTTTTGGCGGGCTCAGCAGGGCAGAGACAGCCTGGACAATTCCTATTGGCTTTGGAAAGCCAATAGAATTAGACTCTATTCAAGAGAGTCTATTCTATTGGCTTTCAAAAGCCAATAGAATAAAAGGGAGTAGCACAGCTAAGGAAAAGGGGGAAAAAAGGGCGGACTGCGTTGTTTGGCGACCCCCGTGAAATGGCCGTTCGACCCCAAATGGGGTCCCGACCCACAGGTTGAGAACCACTGGGATAGATCCTCAGGGAGAAACATCTGTCTGCATGGAGTTGATAGCATCGAATTATCTATCAAACACGTCTAACGGGGATACGGAACATTTTTTCTCCTCTTCCCTTCTCCTCCTCCTTCCTTTGCTGTTATGAGGAGAGGCCATTATTTCAAAAGCAGCTTCTTTCTCCCCCCCCCCCGTCGTTCTTTTTGGCCGTAGGAGGAATTCAGGCAGCAGGCAAGGAGGAAAGAGATGCTGGTCCGAAGGCTGCAGCAGCCCCAGGATAGGTGGCAACTGCGCATGAAGTTCCTCCAGCAGGCCCAGCGCTACATTGGGACGCCGTACGCCAAGAAATACCATCAGCCTGGAAGTAAGAAACTGTATTCTGGAGTCAGGAGGCCAATGGTGATGCCCGTAACACGGGCACAATTTGGGTGGGCATCTCCGTCTCCACCGCTGCAGAAAAGTATCCGTCTCATTTCCAAGACACACTTACCAGCAGTTCATTTAGTGACTGTTCAGAGTTACAACGGCACTGGAAAAAGGGACTCGCGACCGTTTTTCGTACATGCGACCGTTGCAGGCCACGTGACCAAATTCAGAGGCTGGGCAAGTGGTTCCTATTTAAGGATCACGTGATCCCCTTTGGCGTCCTTCCGACAAACCAAGTCAACGGGGAGCCCAGATCTACTTAACCGCCACGTTACTAATTTAACAAACGCAGCGGCTGACTTAACAACCGTGGGCAAGAAAAGTCGTACAATGGGGCGAAACTCACTCAACAAACGTTTCATTTAGCGACACCAGTTTTGGGCTCAGCTGTGGCCGTGACGCAAGGACTGCCTGTATTTTGCTGTTTTTCTCCTTAGCTAGAGTATGAATATAAGTGATTCCTCCCTCTCTCAGTTTTCTCCTTTGATCAGTCACCCTCCAAATTTGGCAGTGCCACTCCCCAAGATGGTGTGTGTGTGTGTGGTGTGTGTGTGTGTGTGTGTCTGTGTGTGTGTGAGACTGCCATTGCCAAACCTTCTAAGGCCAGTTGATAGAAAAACTAGTCCTGAGAGGCGAAATTATTTACGCTCTCCCCTTTAGCTAAGGCAGTGGTTCTCAACCTTTTTAATGCCGTGATCCCCAACCGGTCGTAAGTCGAGGACTACTCAACCGGTCGTAAGTCTATTCTATTGGCTTTCAAAAGCCAATAGAATAAAAGAGAGTCTATTCTATTGGCTTTCAAAAGCCAATAGAATAAAAGGGAGTAGCAAAGCAAAAGGGGGGAAAAAATGGCAGACTGTGTTGTTTGGCGACCCCCGTGAAATGGTCATTCGACCCCAAATGGGGTCCCGACCCACAGGTTGAGAACCACTGAGCTAAGGGGAGGAACCACCATGAATGGTTGATACAGGACGTCTTTGACTTGGGCCCAAAACTTCCATTGCCATGCTGGCTCAGGAATTCTGGGAGTTGAAGTCCACGAGTCATAAAAGAGCCAAGGTCGCCTACCCCTGCCCTAGGATGCTGCATCCATCAATACAGGTGCAGAGCGCCAGAATTTTGATCACGTGAGCTGAGGATGCTGGGAGGGTCAAAAGCATGAGCACCGTTGACAAGCCCCTTTTCCCACTGCGGTTTTAACTTTGAATGGTCGCTAAATGACTTGTGGTAAGCCCTCTATTTTTAATCCTTGTCCTGGCAGCCCCCCAACCCAAGGATAGCCTGACCCCTGGGATGGTACCAAGGCCCAGATTTCTGATGACCCTTTAATTTCTGCATGCCCAGGTCCTGAATACGAATCTCCCCTTTTCCTGAATTGTTGCGGGCTCATCCGGAGAGCAGTGCGAGACTTGGCGGACGATTTTGGCTTCTACTTGGGCACGGGCAACCAAGCCTATCAGTACGACACTCTTCCTGTGACCCTTCCCAGCGAGGACCATTTGAAACCCGGAGATCTCATCTTCATCTCGGGAGTTTACTTTGATCCACAACGTAAGGCCTTCCTTAGGAACCCCTTCCTTCCCTGCCCCCCCCCCTTTCTCCCATCTGCGCCTCCTCGACAGAGACAGACCGTGAATTCTATTCCTGGAACTCCTAAGGTCTCCTGGTTTGATTTGAGAGAAGCCCGGGGTATGGCTTTACAAAAAACCAGGACTTAGTCAGGGTAGCCAATGATGCAGCTGGATTTGCGATCCCATTGGGCAAGATCCGGTGCTTAAAAAGACCTGGATCGCCTGCAAGAGGCCTCTGGATCAATCCCAAACATTTTCGCTTAAAAGGTAGCCTTGATGGCGATGACGCCCTTCTGCGAATCGGGATAGGACAACACAAGGTTCATCAAAGAAGAGAAATAGATATACCAGATCGATAAATAACTTTATCTGGTGTAAAACATTAAAATGTTAAAACCATGAATGAGAACAACAGGGTTAAAGATTCAGAGAATCTTTAGGAAAAGACTGCAGTTTAGTTATACAGGATAGAAAATTTAACCCTTAGCCTCACCATTTAAGGAGCTTCCAATACAGAAATATCTTGGCTGCTCTTTATTCAACCATTTCATGGAGCAGGACACAGAGCACCCCCAGATTGGAATCCTGTTCTCTCCTTCAAAGAGGTTTTCAATTAAGACTTGGACAGAAAACATGATTATAAATTAAGGAAATAACCCCTGCCCCTTTTAACCTCTTCTCACTGTTCCCTGCATTTCCTAACAGTTTAAATACCTGCCCAGGTGTGGGGTCCTTGACGCTCTTTGAGCTTGCAACCATTTCAAATATTATCGAATTAGGTAACATCGCCAGCGCTACCTGCCCAGGTGTTACTGTGCCCCCTTTTTTGCAGGTAAGAGGCAACCCCACGACATTGTCCATGTGGAAATCTGGTTGGGGGAAGGAGAACGCAGTCTGGGGGCCAGGCGGAAGCGTGGCCAAGCCCAGATCTTTGATTCCTACAAGTTCGTCTCCGACTCCTACGGAGACATGGAATACCACTTCAAGTCCATTGAGACGTGGCTGCGGGGCATCTGTGTCAGGTACGCATCTCTTGGGAGTCTCTCCAATCTCTCTGTAACATTTTTTTTAAAAATGATGGGGCTCCACATCCAGTCAGGTAGCTCCAATCAGAGGATTATTGAGTACAGATTTCCAGATTTTTATTTAGCTATTATTTAAATAGAAGGCCAGATCCTGAAGTTGAAACTCAAATACTTTGGCCACCTAATGAGAAGGAAGGACTCCCTGGAGAAGGGCCTAATGCTGGGAAAGATTGAGGGCAATAGAAGAAGGGGACGACAGAGAATGAGATGGCTGGATGGAGTCACTGAAGCAGTAGATGTGAACTTAAATGGACTCCAAAAGATGGTAGAGGACAGGAAGACCTGGAGGAACGTTGTCCATGGGGTCGCGATGGGTCGGACACGACTTCGCAATTAACAACAACAAAATAATTTAAATGTACATGCCATCCGTCTCACCTAGGGATATCTGTCAAAAGGGCGGATGGAGAACAGCGTACCCCCCCCCCCCATGGCCTAATCCAGCTTTTTTCATCCTGGAGGTTCTCAAAACAGGTGGATTACCAAGTCCAGAATTCCCAGCAATGGCTAGGCTGCCTGGGGAATTCTGGGAGAGGATGCCTACAGATCTGGACTCTTGTGACCAAAGAGGAAAGTGCTACAGTGAGGAGCAGATGAGTGGAACCATCAAAAACTGGCTTTACATATATATATATATATATATATATTTAAAAAGGCAACCAACTTGGTTTTTTAAAAAAAATCTTCCATCTTTGCTCAGGCCTGCCTCATTGCAGACCATTAAACTAAAAGATCCTTGAATAGGACCGAAAGAGTGTACTTTTGTGTGTGTGTGTTCTCCATGTGTGCATTCACAGGCATCCCTTTGAAAGTCACTATTGTCATTCCTTTGGCATCCGCGCCATGTAATTCTCCTCTGCTGGCGCCTCTGGAAATGCTTGACGCCCACCATTGTTCCTGGCAATTTGAGATATGCCAGTCCTCCTTTCTCCCCCACCCCGGCCTTCCTCTGCAGCTTGAAATCGAAAGGTGTCATTACAATCTCAAAGGCCTCGCCTGAACGGCCCGCTTAGCACTTGCCACTCACAAAGGCAGCGGTGAATAATCATCTGGTTGGTGGGAGGCAGAGGGGTGAGATTCAGGCACGGTCCACCTTACAAACAGAATATCTGCAAGCCAGGTCATCTGTCTGTCCATTTCTATCTATCTATCTATCTATCTATCTATCTATCTATCTATCTATCTATCTATCTATCTGTCTGTCTGTCTGTCTGTCTGTCTGTCTGCCTGCCTGCCTGCCTATCTATCTATCTATCTATCTATCTATCTATCTATCTATCTATCTATCTATCTATCTATCTATCTATCTATCTATCTATCTATCTATCTTATCTATCTCAAGGGTCCCCAACCTCTGGTCCGTGGACCTGTATTGGGCTGTAATATGCCACCCACCGGTCCACACAAACAAGCAAAGCCCATCTGTGTGATGCAGACAGCACATAAAATCACACACCCTCCAGTCCATGGAAAAACATTTCTCCATGGAACGGGTCCTTGGTTCCCAAAAGGTTGGGGACCTCTTCTATCTATCTATCTATCTATCTATCTATCTATCTATCTATCTATCTATCTATCTATCTACCTACCTACCTACCTACCTACCTACCTACCTATCATCTGTGTGTCTATCATCATCATCATTATCACTTCTATCATCTATTTAATCTATCTACCTCTCTGTCTCTATCATCTCTCTCTATCTTTTCATCTATTATCATCATCATCATCACTTCTATCATCTATTTAATTTATCTACCTATCTATCTATCCATCTATCTATCTAGCTAGCTAGCTAGCTAGCTAGCTAGCTATCTTAACTTTCATTGGGAAAAACAAAAAAAATCACTCTGGAACAGATCAGCTGTCTGAGATTTTTAAACTGAAATGAGTATTATTTTTTTTTTTACATCAAGGGAGCTCCAAATAGGAGGCGATACTCCTTCCTTCCTTCCTTCCTTCCTTCCTTCCTTCCTTCCTTCCTTCCTTCCTTCCTTCCTTCCTTCCTTCCTTCCTTCCTAAGGTGCCTTTTTTCCCACCTGTATTTCCTCTTGGTCTTATTTGAGAGCACATTTGAGGATGACCTGCCCGATCCCCCTTCCTTTTCCCAAGATTTAGTCTGCAGTTCACTTCCCCAGAATTCTAGCTTAACCGGATGCCTGTCAGCTCAAGCCGGGGAGTTAAACCCCTTCCAGAATCGCTGGACATCAGATAGTACCTAAATATAGTTCTGTAAATGAAAATAAACCAAAGCAAAATAACCACATGGAAAAGAGGCATATGATGTCAGGGTCACAGCCCTGTACAAAAGGGTTGTGTTGTGCACCCTGCCTCTTTAGAGATGGATACCATGGATACCATCCATGGCTCATTCACAAGCTGAGCATCACAAGAGCCCTGCTGGTCTTTTGATTTCCCCCAATGCCCCTGATAACCGCCGGGTGGGTGGGGCATTGTGGGGAAAGTCAAAAAGCCAGGCAGAGACACACCCAAAGGATTAGGTGCAGCATCGGATGCCAAAGGGGCAAAGCCAGTAAAGGACTTTGCTCTCTCCGGCTGCCGCAGGGAAGGTTCACACACCTCCACCTTGCTGGACTCTCCGACTTCCTTCCCCCCCCCCCGCACCAGCAACGGTTCCTAAGCAACTGTTGCTAGGAAGCGGGCTCTTGTTGACAACACCCAAGGCTGCCTGCACCCTCACCAGGGGAAAACACGGCTGTCCAAATCTGGATGCTTGGAGACCCGGCTCGGGAGACAGGCGAGCATTCTGCAAAAGCCCTGTCGAGTTTCATGATGGCTGATCTGAAAAACACGCCCTCTAGAGCACTCTCCGAGCACGTAGGGCACGCCAAGTCAAGGTTGGACTTCAGTTCTTTGTGTTTTTCTCCTTGCTGAGGGGGTCAAAGCAACCTCCCCAGGTGGCAGCTGGTGCTTTCAAGAAACCCAAGTCTTCACTGGAATAACAAAGTAGGAAGGGGTTTTAGAGGTCTTCTAGTCCATCCCCGTGCTCAGGCAGGAGACCCTATATCATTCTGAACAAATCTCGTCTTAAAAATCTCCAGTGTTGGAGCACCCACAGCTTCTGGAGGCCAAGCCATGCCGTTGATTCATTGTTCTCGCTGTCAGGAGATTTCTCCTTGTTTCTAGGTTGTTTCTCTCCTTGATTAGTTTCCATCCCTTGCTTTTTGTCCTCCTCAAATACTTTGGTTAATAGATCATCCCTGTCTTCTCTGTGGCAGCTCCTCAAATACTGGAAGGCTGTTAATCATGTCACCCCTGGTCCTTCTCTTTGTTGGCCTAGATAGACCCATTTCCTGTAACCTTTCATGGTATGTTTTAGCCTCCTGCCTCTCTAATTATCTTTGTTGTTCTTTTCTGCACTCTTCCTAAGCTCAACATCTTTTTTTTTGTTGTTGTTGTATCGGGGTGACCAAAACTGGATGCAGTATCCCAGGTGTGGCCTTATCAAGGCATGATAAAGTGGTACTAACACATCACTCGATCTTGATTCTATCCCTCTGGTGATGCAGCCTAGGACTGCGCTGGCTTTTTTTGGCAGCTGCAGCCCGCCCAAAATGCAATGCGATCCAAACTCAGATTTAAACTCAGATATTTGAACTCAGTCAAATATCCAGCAGCTGCTGACGTTCCTAATCGTGCTTGGTTTTAACCTTAGTTAAACCCGGCTCATTTCTAATGGGGTTAAAATCTCTTGCAAGTCTGAAAACTTGGCGGTTCCCCCAGTGGGGACACTCCAATCCCGAAAGAACTCGCCAAGTTGGCTAGAAAGCAGTTGACTCCCTCAAGTTGGGAGACATCTCGAATTAAACATCGTTTCCCCTCGCTTTTCCCCGCAGCCATTGTCCAGAGCACAAGTGGGCTTCGGCAAGGGACGTTGTGGAGAAAAAGTCTATTTTCTACCCGCTGAGCGAGCAAGACGAACCTGCAGAACAGGACGCTGGCCCTTCCCAAAGCTGTCCTCCCTCGTCACTTGCAGATGAAGGAACGTCAGTCAGGACGGCATCCATTGCAGCATCTCTCAGCACCTGCAGACTGAGCAGCAGCGAGCAGGTGGGAGCCCTGGACCTTCAGGTGCGCTCCAGGTTGGGCTGGGAGCTCCCTCAGATAACCTTGGGGAAAACAGATGAAGGTGTAGAGTCCGGCCAAGGTCGGGATGAAGCTCCGAGCTTCGGCGACGCTGTGCCAGAGGGGGAACAGGCCCGGAGAGAAGGGGGCGAGGCGGATCCTATGAAGACCCTCCCAAAAGATCAAGGCCAGGACCCTCCTGGCCGAGGGGAGGACTCAGTCGGAGACTTGACCCAGGCCTCCCCTTCCAGTTGCAAGGTAAAGTCCATGTCGGGCCCCGTCGGAAAATGGGACAAGAACCTGACGTCCAGAACGCGAGGCGTTTTGTGCCCTGATGGACCTCCGCCACTAGCCCCAGGTGAATCAGACAGCTTTCCTTCCAGCTAGGAGGAGACCTGCTGTCCACCACATCCTCACCCCGCCCAGCACTTCTCCACATTTCAGAAATAAAGACATGGATTCCTTCCTTCCAAGCTTCTCAATTCCCACAGTGCCCTAGAGCAGTGGTTCTCAACCTTTTTAATGCCGTGACCCCCCCCAACCGGTCATAAGTCGAGGACTACTCAACCAGTCGTAAGTCGAGGACTACTCAACCAGTCGTAAGTCGAGGACTACTCAACTGGTGCAGCACCGTTTGCAGAATGAGACTTTTGGCGGGCTCAGCAGGGCAGAGACAGCCTGGACAATTCCTATTGGCTTTGGAAAGCCAATAGAATTAGACTCTATTCAAGAGAGTCTCTTCTATTGGCTTTCAAAAGCCAATAGAATAAGAGGGAGTAGCACAGCTAAGGAAAAGGGGGGGAAAAATGGCAGACTGCGTTGTTTGGCGACCCCCGTGAAATGATCATACTACCCCAAATGGGGTCCCGACCCACAGGTTGAGAACCACTGCCCTAGAGCAATGCAGTGCGGCATTCTGGGAAAATGAAGAGAGGCCGCTTCCAAGAAGGAAGCCTCAACAAGGGTGGGATCCTCTGAGCACTGTTGACAATTGTAACCCCGGAAGTGTACCCGTCTGAGCCTCCAGGTGTTGCCAAACTACAGCTCCCAGCATCCCTATTTGTACTGTTGGTTTATGAGGGGCTGCTGGGAAGCGTGGTTCACCTCTTGCTCATTCATCCCCATATAGGACCTAATAACGTTCAACGCATTCCTCTTTTGCTCTCATGTCCAACCAGAGGAAAACCCAGCTGATAGGAAAAATACAAACAAACCCTGGTTTCTCCCTGGCTACTTTGTTTTCAGTCTGGCGGCACCTGCATATTTTCCCCCCGAATAGTGCACAGATGGTCTCACTTAGCAAACGTCTCGGTTAACAACGGAAACGTTGGGCTCAATTGCCGTCGTAAGTCAAGGACTACTGCATTTCGAAGAGATTTGATTCGGCAGCCCAGCCAAAAAGAGAGGAGTGCCCCTCTTTCTGCCAAGCATGTTGCATCCTGGCAAATCTCATAAAAAGAACAAATTAGGGACAGGGGAAAGACCTATAAAGCTTTGGCTCTCAGCAGGCAATTTGGCTGGAGGCAAAACTCTGTGTCATCAATAGAGCAAATTAAGTGGAACAGGGGAAGGGAAAACACACAAATATTTGTATGCTATAAAAATATGAGCCAGAGCAGGGATCCCCAACCGGTCCACACAAACAAGCGAAACCTCATCCGTGGGATGCAGGCAGTATGCGAAACACCCTCTCCAGTCCACGGAAAAACTGCTCTCCACGGAACCGGTCTCTGGTTCCCAAAAGATTTAGAGGCTGCTGAGTTAGAGGTAGAGGAATATCCTGTGATTTTGTTTTGCTAACAGAGTAGCGTTGCCAATTGTTAATTGTCCTACTGCAGCCCTGACAATAAAAGGCATTTGAGATGGCAAAAGCAGGCTATAGACATGGAGCAGAGCGGACATTTGAATAAAAAATATCTGATCATATCTGGCAACTAATGATATCTGGAGTAGCGTAATATCAACCCCAATTTTTTCTCCTTATTTCTGATCAGGTCTGCTCTGCAGCCTTGCTTGGAGACAGGGCCGTTAAATTTACAAAAGCAGAGCCTGAACTGTCAACGCCGTTTCCCTCCTTTTGGAAAACAAGAGGGAACAGGCAGTCCTCAACTTACGACCACAGCTGAGCCCAAAATTCTGTTGCTAAGTGAGACTTAAGTGAATGCCGTCCGATTTTACGACCTTTCTTGTCACAGCTGTTAAGGGAAATCGCTGCAGTTGTTTAAGTTAGTGACAACGTTGTTAACCGAATCAGGTTTCCCGTTGACTTTGCTTGTCCCAAGGTCGCAAAAGGGGATCACAGGACCCCCCAGGGACACTGCAGTCGTCATAAATATGAGTCAGCTGCCAAGCATTGGAATCTTGATCACATGACCTTGGGGATGGCAGCGATGGACGTGAGTGTGCAAAACGGTCAGAAGTTACTTTTTTCCCGTGCCGTTGCAACTTTGAACAGTCAATAAACAAGCTGTTGTAAGTCCAGGAGTCCCTGTGAAATAAATACAACTCACCTTTTTTTTCGCACTGTGACAAACTCCATAAGCCACCATCCTCTGAAAACCATCCATGAAAAGAACAAAATTCTCACCTGTGATTCTTCCACGTCTCTTTCCTCTTCTCCTGGGACGCTCGGCTGCTAAAATATTATTTTGAAAAATAAAATAAACCAAACTTTTTTTCCGGAAGGAGCCGATTATCCTTAAAAACCATCCTGTGATGCTCTTGGGAGAACCATTAAAAGGTTAAATGCTCATCTTTACATCCTGCAATAGTTAAGTGTCTTCGCCATTGGTATCTTCCGTCATCAAATTCACTTTTCTACCAGCCTCTCACCAACTGCACTTCTCTCTTTTCTTAGGAGTCGGAGAGGTGCTAGAAGAATTAGCGAACATTTTAACCTTCTCAAGTGGGGAAAAAAATCCAGCTTTCCCAAACCTCGGATAGGCTAAAAACCACGCACTGAAATAATCCAAAGAAGCAATATTAGATTAAATAAGATTTAGGGGCATGCTTATGCATTTAAACACCCACAGAGGTTGTAGCAGATTCCTCAAAAGCTCTTTGGAGAGGCTTGGCTGCAAACAGACTCCATCAGTTCCACAAACAATCTCTTCCTTATATTTTATTCTTCTTGACATTCAAGTCCAGAGAGGAAAAGAACAACAACAGAATAATAATAAAAAAAATTGTTCATTCCACAACACCCTCACACTTCTGCCCTGATGTCAGAATTCAATCTCGAAACTGCAGCATTTTTTTTTTTTAAAAATCCAATCTCTGTCCACCCCTTTTTTTTTTTTTCTGAAAATCCTCCATCCTTCAAAGCAACTCTTCGGTCAAAGACCCGGCTGAGCTGCGTCCGAGTCACGACTTCAAACGGGAACGCCGACACTCCTCCATCAGAAGAGAGAAAGATCTTAGACAGTGAGCCAAACCCACATCGAAAGTGTCGGGCGGGCATCTCAAAAAGAGCTGAATCGGTACTCTCGCGAGTCCCGCAGAATTGAAAGAAACAGAAATTAGAAAAACGCAAAACTTCAACTTTGCAAATTCAGGATCTGGAGATCTTTTTCCCTGCTTCCATCCAAAAGTCTATTCACCTTGTCCGTTCTGGGTACAGAAGCCTGCCCAGCCTGTGCTTTACCTGTTGAGTTACAGCCCTTGCTCTGTAGCTGTTGGCCAACTGACCGGGGTGTCAAAGCGTGACATCACAGCCTCTCCATTGTGACCCGGGCGCAAGTCAGCTTCCAGAAGTATGGCTTCAGGGCAGGAAGTGGTTTCCACACCGAATTGCTGGGAGCCCAGGGTCTGCAGGAAGAAATTCCTCAGCTTCCCTCCCCGTTTGACTCTCCGAAGACCTCCATGCTTCTCAGGTGCCCCTCTCTCAACTAGGCAGGAAAAAAGTGGTGGGCACAGCGGGGTGGTGTGCAAAAAATCTCGGGGAAAGAGTTGAAAACGGACGAGGGAGTCAAGTCAAGGAAGCAACTGTTAACCCTCGGAGGGATGGCCGTCGTAAAATTGGCTGGGGAGTGACAATCAATCAACGGGTGCCCGTTGTCCCAAGGGACAATTGGATAGCAACTGAGTGTGGCTAAAGAGCCCCATCTCAGGTTGAAGGTAAAGTCCATTGGGAGAGCAGATACAGAATCCCACTTAAAGGACTTAAAGTTGGCGTGACAAACTCCCAAGGAACACCGCCTTTTAGCTAATTTCGCTCCAACTGGTGAAGTTACTAGGATGAGTAATGAAGTTGGGTCCAGTTGGCCTGGGTTGACGGGAGCCTTCCTTGACATCTTGCCTTTTCTCCTTGGCGCCTGCCAATCACCCCGCCGGCGTGACCTAAATTCTAACTCTCCACATACACACCCCCACTGTATGTGTCTGTCCTTGGTGCCTTCTCCGCCCGGGGAAGGCGGACCTTGCAGGGTTGATTTGAGAGTCGAGTTCCAGAGTCCCTCCACCGCGGATGCGGTGGTTGAGCTGGTTCCTCTGGACTGCAACCGGGAGGGAAAACCCAGATTAAAATCTGGGCGTGGCTGACCGAGGCTGGTCTGGCTTTCAGGATGGATGAGCGAAAGACCGCTGGATGGCAGTGAAAGAGCGGCTGCCCTCCGTTTAGGCTTCCGTTGGTTCCCATACTACAACGAAGCAGGTGAGGCCCACCGGGCGACCAGGCTGCCCAAAAGACGCCCAGGACAGAGTCATCCAAAGGTCCAAAGCAACCCAACCCATCCACAAGGAGGTGAGGCTGACTTCCTTTTTTTTCCAGCAAAGTGGAATCAGGCACCTGGTCTAAAGGAGCGGAATGGCTGCACACTAACCCAGTAATATGAGCGGATAACACGAGCGTGTTTTTTGGTAGATTCAGAAAAGGGAATTGGATAAGCTGGAGCGAACCCACAGATCGAAAGAGAGTCACAGGTAGTCCTCGCCTTACAACGCTTTGTTTAGACCAGGGGTCTCCAAACCAGGGGTCTCCAAAACCTCCCCACCCCCCATTTGAAACCGGGCCGAAGAAGTAGCGGGCAAGCGCTCACAAAGCTCCATTCACGCGGGAGGCTGGCACACACGCCCGCCGCTTGTGCAAATGGAGCTGTGTGCACGTAGAACCGTCCCTTCTTCCTCCTCTGCCGGTCCACCGTTGGACGTTACAACCGCGCTGAAAAAGCTGACTTATGACCCCTGTTCACACTTAACGACCGTTGCAGGAACTCCATTGGGACGTAATCAAAATTCTTGGCAAAACGCTTGGCCACTGACTCGTATTTATGACGGTGGCCGTGTCCCGGCGTTCACGTGATCCCCTTTCGCGACCGCCTGACAAGCCAAGTCACTGAGGGGAATCCAGATTCGCTTAACAACCGGGTTACTAACTGAACAACTGCGGTGATCAACTTCACAACTGTGGCAAGGAAAGTCGTGAAACGGGGCAAAAACTCACTTAACACCTGTCCCACTTACCAACAAACTTTGGGCAAAATTGTAGTCGTAGATTGAGGGCTACCTGGAGCTAGTTTCCTGCCTTCTCCTCATTGTTTCCAGCTTTCCCCCCCAACCAGTAAGATCTTTGGGAGCCACTGTGTGAAAGCTAGAGAAATCTAGCAGCTCAAGGAAAAGAGGAATTCCTTGAAAGGCTAAATTTCAAAGGGCAGAGAATGTTTCATCTTCCATCCAGGGATCTGTACCCTCCAAACAAAAAACCCAGAGAACTAAGCCATCATTGCACTTGGTGTATTGCTGTGTGGGTATTACAAAGACAGCTGGGAAAACCATCCAGAATAATGGGAATTCGAATGCTGTAAATAACAGGCTTGGAATTACCATCTACAAATTGGAACGTATAATAACCGTATCAAAGCTGCTGCTTTTTTTTTCGTTAGCATTTTTGTAAATATCTGGGAGGGGAAAGACGCGGCCAAAAAAATAATAATAATAATGGAAGCTTTTTGCTGGCTTAAAAAGTACAGATCCCAGGGAAAATGGCAGCCAAAAGAAGATTTTGGACGGACCAGTGGAATTCAATCCCAGCATGCTGAGTAGGGAATTCTGGGAGTTGAAGTTCACGCACCTTAAATTTGCCAAGTTTGAAAAAAACACAGCACTAGTGGAAGTGGCTGGTCCACCAGGTGCAATACTGAACTACAATACCCAGCAGCCTCTACCGGTATGATCACTGGGAGGGTTCAGCAGTGTCTGGAACCGCAGGTCCTCCAACCCCACTCCGCTCGCAGACTGTTTTCAAAGCTCTTGAGCCAAAGCCGGTTTCAAGTTCCCAAACCATAAGAAACTGAGGGTGGGAAAGGGCTTATAGTTGCCAACCAGGACCTCAAATTCGGCCTTTTTCAATTTTTTCCAGCTTGACCAAAGGAGTGACGTCTCTCTTTTTCTATCCCAGCATTTGGATCGGAATTTGCAACCTTTGCCTATCGATCAATCCATGCTGGTTTAATGCCAAACCGGACCCGTTTCTCTGCTTTGTTGGGGCTGATGAATCGCCACTTCAGCTTTTCTCCTTCAGAGGCCCCTCAGCTCAGCTTGCGAAGGGTTGGGCTAGAGGACCTCTCTGCACCTCCTGGCTCTAGGATTCTGTGATTGGTTTTCTTCTTTCTGACTGATGTACAAGAGACCGTGCACACACACACACACACACACCCCTGGCATGCCCTAACCTCCTTCTCTTCGGCAGATCCCAAGGGCATAGAAAACAGGAAGCAGAAATATCGGGCTCTTTTTCCAAGCCAGGCACTGAAGCAGTGGAAGACATACAAGCAAAGGGGTAGGAATTTGATGCATGCCACCCCTTTCGGATACAGAAAGAGACTCCAAAATGCTGCCTCTTATCTAACCGTCCCTTAAGCAGTATTTCTTCAGCCCTTCTTCCAAAATCTTTCTTCTCTGCCACGGATGGGCCACCTTGGCTCTTTTATGACTCGTGGACTTCAATGCCCAGAATTCCTGAGCCGGCATGGAAACCTCTCCCTTTCCCCTCAGCACGGCTGGCTCAGGAATTCTGGGAGTTGAAGTCCACGAGTCATAAAAGAGCCAAGGTTGCCTACCCCTGGTCTAGGCCTAGGCCGCTTTATGACTGGTGGACTCCAACTCCCAGAATTCCTGAGCCGGCGTGGCTCGGCTTGGAAACCTCTCCCTTTCCCCTCAGCGTGGCCGGCTCAGGAATTCTGGGAGTTGAAGTCCACGAGTCATAAAAGAGCCAAGGTTGCCTACCCCTGGTCTAGGCCTAGGCCGCTTTATGACTGGTGGACTTCAACTCCCAGAATTCCTGAGCTGGCGTGGCTCGGCTTGGAAACCTCTCCCTTTCCCCTCAGCGTGGCCGGCTCAGGAATTCTGGGAGTTGAAGTCCACGAGTCCTCAAAGAGCCCAGGTGGCCTACCCCTGGCCTAGCTGGACCCAAGAGGGTTCACCCACCCTCCTTCTCGTTCCAGGGCTTCCCAAAATAGCCGAAGGGAGATTCACCTATGAATTCAGATCAAAGAAGCCCAGAGTCATTCTGAAGGCAGCGCTCCGAATGAGTCACCTGGACGAGAGAAGAAACGAAGAAGCCCCGGCATCCGGGCCGTTCTTTTACATCGGCGGAGCAAATGGGGTTGATACGTAAGGAGAAAGCCCTCACCCGCCCGCCTGCCCCCCCCAACCCTTGAGCGAGGCAGTCTGCGTCAGGGAGGGGTGGTGCTAGATGGCCTTTGCGGAGCCCTCTCAGCTGCGGGACCCAGAACGTAGGCAGCAAAAGGTGGCCCTCGGCTTAGCAGCCTAGTGACCGAAGTTTACAACGGCAGGCAAAAAAAGGGACCGGTGGGTTGTCGCGCCGGTCATCCTTGCAGCCTCCGTGTGATGAAGCTCGATCTGAGTTTTACATCACGTGGTCTAAATCTGGGCGCTCGGCAGCTGGCATGCATTTATGAGAGTGGCGCTTTGCAACCTTCCCAGCCGTCTTCCGACAAGCGAAGGCAGTGGGAGAAACCGGATTCGCTTAACAACTTTGGCAAAAAAGGCAGAAGGGCGCAACTCAATTAACAACTGTCTTGCTTACATAGAACTACCTATATTTCTAGAGCAGGGGTCCTCAAACGTGGCCACTTTAAGACTTGTGGACTTCAACTCCCAGGATTCCCCAGCCAGCATGGGCTGGCTGGGGAATCCTGGGAGTTGAAGTCCACAAGTCTTAAAGTGGCCACGTTTGAGGACCCCTGCTCTAGAGGGTTATCGGCCACCTTGCCCCAAGGCCGCCTCCTTTCTCTCTCGCAGCCTGAGTAATTACTGCAAAAGCAAAGGGTGGCAACGGATTTATGACAACCGGAGGGAAGACTACATCTTGAAATGGTGCGAGACCAAGTTTCGGGACACCTATTGCAACTTCCGAGAAGGTACGGGCCAGCTTTCCAAGGCCAAGCGAAGCTGGAAGGAACAACGGCAGGTTCAGAATATCTGGAGGTCAAGGAGCACACACATCTGTAGCTCAGAGTTGAACTGTGGGGTCCTTGGTGCTCTCTGAGCTTGGTGGTTTTGTTGCAGACGTTTAATTACCAAGCTAGGTGACATCATCAGTGCTAGAAGGCAGTGGGGAGGAGGAGGAGGAAGAGGAGGAGGAGGAGGACGAGAGCCTTGTGTTATGGGTCTGATTAACGAAACACTTCAAAGAACTTTCAGGCATTTTTTTAACCTAAAAAGCCTTTATTAGTGTTACAGAGTGTCAGCACGGCATGGTGGAGGCTAAGATCTGAATTTCCCTTCCTTTGCACATAACATTCCAGGCACTTCCCCTCCCCTATCTTGGGGTCATGATTCACATCTTCCAATTAACTTGGAGGGCAAAGATTCACTTCCATTTCTTTTTCCCGGGCTTTCCTTACATTGTCCTCCCCTTTCGCTGTCACCTGATTTAACTCTGAAAATACCAGACAGTTCTGCAATATATATTGTCAAAGCAAGAATATTCAATATTAGCAGCGTTGACACCTTGGTGCTCTCTGAGCTGGGTTGTTTCCTTGCAGATGTTTCACGACCCAACTATGTAACATCATCAGTATTAGAAAGGAGTGGGATTTTCAGGGAGGAGGAGCAGGATGGTGGGGTCCTTGGCCCTCTCTGAGCTTTGTTTTTTTCTTGCAGACGTTTCGTTGCCCAACTAGCTAACATCATCAGTGCTAGAAGGCTGTGGAGGGGGAGGAGGGGGAGGACTATGGGCTCCTTGGTGCTCTCTGAGCTTGGCGGCTTTCTTCCAGGCGTTCCATTACCCATCTAGGGAACGTCTTCATTTCAGATCACATCCCTCCGTCGTAACTTGGAGCGGTCATTAAGCGACCGATCATTCAGCAGGGCTGCCCATAAGGCCTTCTTCATCCCCTCTGCTGCCTGAGGCCCTGTTGTCGTTGTTTTCTGCCCATTCAGGAGAGCAGCTTCTCTACCAGATCCCAAACAACAAGATCCTGACGACAAAGATCGGCCTGCTGATGAACCTCAGGGAATATGATCGGGTGATGAAAAAGGTTGGCCAGGCAGCCAGGTAAGCCCTCAGAGGTAACAGGCTACAGGTGATAATCATCCTGGGGGGGGGGGGGGAAGAAGCAATTTGACATTATTTTTGAACTGCCAAGGATGCCACCGTCCATGAAATTCAAAGAGAAAAGTTTGAGGTTCTAGGCTTATTTCCCTAATGTCTGATAGCCACTGATGTATTTGCCCGTTTTGCTATTGACAATTGCGTAAAATAACTTACCATTGAGACTCAATAATCCACAGGATGAGAATAAAGAAGCTTGCTAACGAAGGGTGAAACATTGTATTGAAATTATGTCCAGTGATGTCCAAAACATCATATCGAAATTATGTCCGCCAGCAACGGAGGGAAACTAATCCAGGAGAAGAGCAACCTAGAACTAAGGAGAAATTTCCTGGCAGTGAGAACAATTAATCAGTGGAACCACCTGACTCCAGAAGTTGTGAATGCTCCAACACTGGAGGTTTATGAGAAGAGATTGGACATATCATTTGTCTGAAATGATAGAGGGTTTCCTGCTTGAGCGGGGTGGGGTGGACTAGAGGACCTCCAAGGTCCCCTCCAACGGTGTTATTCTGTTTTTATCAACACTGTGATTAAAAAAGGCAAACGACGACTTTCTTCCCTTTGAAAGCTGTGGGTCAGCCACTTTGGGGCCAGCTGGGGTGAGATTACATGCCGTTCTCAGCAGAAAGCACAGTGCTGTCTCTAGCCAGCAGAAATTATATTGAGAAAGGATGCTAGTCCATAGGAAGGAATCATGGGTATCTTTTAATCCCTAGTGCGGACGAGAGAAACGATGGCTGGCCTGTAAATTCATTAAAACAGGTCTGTGTGAGATTATTATTATTATTATTAAAAAATTCTTCCCTTTCTTGCAGATTGCTAAAAATGGAAGATTTTTTCCCGGAGACGTTTCGTCTGGACACTAAAGACGAGAGAGAAGTCTTCTTTGAAATGTATAGAGGTGAGCCCCAACGCAATTTATTCTGTCTCTCTTTTCAAGATAACGAATCTATTTTGAACAGTGGCTTCTGTCAAGAAAGACAGGAGCAGGTTGCGATCTCGGTATTCAACTGAAGCCGCTGTCTCCCTCCCTCTCTGCAGAACCTCAGATTTGGATCTGCAAGCCCACCAGCTCCAACCAGGGGCGAGGCATTTTCCTCCTGAAGAGTCAAGCCGAAGTCCGAAGCCTGCAAGCCAAACTCCAAGGCACGGAGGAGGAGCCCGCCTATCGGAAGCTGCCCTACAAACTGCCTCAGGCACGAATCGTCCAAAGGTAGAGAATCCGCCACGCAGCCGCCCGGCTATCCAGCTCCTGGCTGGTGAGCGACCTCGGATGCTCTTGGACTTGAGTTAAAGCCCGGAGCGGGGATTCAGATAGAGCAGCGGTTCTCCACCTGTGGGTCGGGACCCCCTTTGGGGTCGAACGACCCATTTCACGGGGGTCGCCAAACAACGCAGTCCGCCATTTTCCCCCCCTTTTCCTTAGCTGTGCTACTCCCTTTTATTCTATTGGCTTTTGAAAGCCAATAGAAGAGACTCTCTTGAATAGAGTCTAATTCTATTGGCTTTCCAAAGCCAATAGGAATTGTCCAGGCTGTCTCTGCCCTGCTGAGCCCGCCAAAAGTCCCATTCTGCCAACGGTGCTGCAGCATTGAGTAGTCCTCGACTTACAACTGGTTGAGTAGTCCTCGACTTACGACCGGTTGGGGGTCGCGGCATTAAAAAGGTTGAGAACCGCTGCTCTAGTCCAACCCCTGCTCAAGCAGGAGACCCTAGACCAGTGGTTCTCAACCTGTGGGTCGGGACCCCCTTTGGGGTCGAACGACCATTTCACAGGGGTTGCCAAACAAGGCTGTCCGCCATTTTTTCCCCCTTTTCTTTGGCCACGCCCCTGGCACCTGGTGATGTATAAGTGGTTGGGGGTCACCACAACATGGGGAACTGTATTATGGGGTCGCGGCATTAGGAAGGTTGAGAACCACTGAGATAGAGACACGACGGGACACTCTTCCTGAGCAGCCTAGCCTATATACCATTTCAGATAGATGGTTGTCCGATCTCTTCTTAAAACCCTTCGGTGATGGAGCACCCACAACCTCTGAAATTTTAATTTATAGAACCGCCGATCTCACCCCAGGGGACTCTGGCTGTCATTATTATTATTAAAATTATTTGCTGTGGGGTTCTTGGTGCGTTTTGATGTCCCCGATGGGGCCGTGGGATTAGCCTTTGGACAGGCGGGGAGAGAAAAACGAAAAGGCAGGACAAGAAGCAACGGATAGAAACTAATCAAGGAGAGAAGCCACCTAGAACTAAGGAAAAACTTCCTGGCAGTGAGAACAATTAACCAGTGGAACAGCCTGCCTCCAGAAGCGGTGAATGCTCCAACCCTGGAAGTTTTGAAGAAGAGACTGGACAGCCATTTGTCCGAAATGGTGTAGGGTTTCCTGCCAGAGCAGGGGGTTGGACTAGATGACCTCCAAGGTCCCTTCCAACTCTGTTATTGTGTTATTCTGTTACTAATCAAGGAGAAAAGCAACTTAGAACTAAGGAGAAACTTCCTGACAGTGAGAACAATTAACCAGTGGAACAACCTGCCTCCAGAAGCGGTGAATGCTCCAACACTGGAAGTTTTTAAGAAGAGACTGGACAGCCATTTGTCTGAAATGGTATAGGGTTTCCTGCCTGAGCAGGGGGTTGGACTAGATGACCTCCAAGGTCCCTTCCAACTTTATTATTATTATTATTAAGAATGAGGGAGATTACTCAGTCATTCCTATTGGGAAGTTTAGGAGGGCTTCCAAGCAGCTGACGGGCCGCGTTGTGCGAATTGAAGCGGCAGGAACAGCTGTCTGGAACCCTTCTGGATTCCGGAGCTATTTTGGATTCGAGAGAAAGCTTCTTTATGGTTATTTATAGCCTTCAGAAAGGATATTCACGGTTGCAGGGGAGAAAGGGAGAAAAAAAATAACACACACAAATCCTTTGGTGTCGCTGCTGTGGAAAAGTACAAATTGCACCCTGTGGGAAAGCAGCACGGGCACCCTGAACCCAGCCGGTGGGGATCCAGCATCAAGAACAGCCTGATGGGGGGTGTAGTTCTGCATGATCCAGGGAGCTAAGCGCCCAGTGTCTTACTTTTCATCCAGCTCACCTGCCTGTCCTTCACCCCAGGTACATCGACCGCCCTCTGCTGCTGGAGGGGAAGAAATTTGACGTCCGCTCTTACCTGCTGATCGCCTGCACCGTGCCCTACATGGTCTTCTTCGGCCACGGCTACGTCCGCCTCACCTGCCTCAACTACGACCCCAAATCCGACGACCTCACCTCTCATTTGACCAACCAGGTGCTGAAAAAAAAGAGGCGTCTTTGGCCAACCCAGCCATCTGGAGCAGGCCTGCCTTCCTTTGGCTCTGCCCACTAGGCATTGTCTCTGGGCACCTGGCGCAGTGGCCAAGCTATTATTGCCTTTGTGTTGCCCGATTCAAGACGGGTTGTTCGGCTTTGTGTGAAAGACAGCCACTGGCACCAGGTGCTCCGCAGAGAATGCTGGCTGGAAAAAAAAAAAAGCTGTCAACGTTAGGCCAGTCTCTTCTTCAAAACTTCTAGTGTCTTTTTTGTTTGTTTGTTTGTTTGTTTATTTGTTTGTTTCCAAGAGACCAAGTTATCTCCTTCATTCCAGCAGCGGCTGACAAATTTGGCATTCCCCCTCTATCCCATTTTTTCCTTCCCTGCAGTTGGATCCTGCTTCTCTTTTCTGAGGCTGAATGCTTGGCCCAGAGAAGTGGGAATGGATTTGGAAAGCAAAATCTCTGGGATTTTTTTTTTTTAAGCTTAGCAAAGAAGCCTAAGCAAGAGGGGGGAAAAACACAACTCAATTTGGCCTCATTTAACTCAAGTTAAATAGTTAATAAGATTTAATGCAGCTAGTTGAAGAACTGTCTCTCTTTAGAGAGACAAAAAGTCTTTCTCTGTCTCTCTGTCTCCGTCTCTGTCTCTCTCTTTCTTTTGCAAGAGCTGAGAGTTTAAATCTTATCTATCTATCTATCTATCTATCTATCTATCTATCTATCTATCTATCTATCTATCATTATCATCATCATCACTTCTATCATCTATTTAATCTCTCTCTTTTTCTTTTGCAAGAGCTGAGATTTTAAATCTTATCTATCTATCTATCTATCATCATCATCATCATCATCACCTCTATCATCTATTTAATCTCTCTCTCTCTCTCTCTCTCTCTCTCTCTCACACACACACACACACACACACACACACACACACACACACTGAGATTTTAAACCATCTTTCCCAGCTCATCATTCCTTGATTTCTAGCGTGCCTACTAGCCAAACTCTCCCTAGGAAGCCTCAGAAAAACCCCACAGCATTTGAAATCATTTTATCAAATGTCTAGGCAGAGACCCAAAGAAAACACACTCCTCTTTCTTGCTGTGTTGCTGTTGCTTCCTCAGCAAAATATGGGGAAAGGAAAATAATTTTTTTTAAGCCAGCAAGCGAAGCGACGCTTATGGCATAGACAACCGAATGGAGAGCAGAAAAGGGGGAAAGAACGGAGTCTATTTAGGCCTGGGGCTTCACCTGAGTAGCCCACCTAAGGTCATCTGTCCAAGCCACGTTTTCATACTGCCTGAGCTTCTGGAGAATGCTTTTTTTTTTTTTTTAAATGTCTCCCTCACTCAGTACGTGCAAAAGAAGAGTCCCATCTACACCCACGTCAAGGAGGAGACGGTATGGCTGATGGACCGCTTCAATAACTACGTCAACGAGAAGTTCAGACAGGCCAAAGGGCTCCCCAGAGACTGGGTCCTCAACAGCTTTACCGTACGTTTTCTGTTCCTCAAATCCACCCTTAACTTTTTCCCCCGGGCCTAAGAATCTGAGAATATCATACTTGAAAAATAGACCACTAGAAAAAGCCAGACTCGTAAAATAGACTGTAAAGGCAATAATAATAATAATAACCTAGGAAAAAGAACCAGAAAACCACTCCCAGCTTTTCCCTCTGAAAATGGGTATAACTTTAAAATTTACAAAATGAACCAGGATTATTTTGGATTTTTTAGCGGTAGGAAATCTACATTTCATCCCCCTCTATGAACTTTTTTCCAGGGCTGGGTGGGGGTGGGTGGGTGGGAAATCAACGGAACAGACACTTTAGAGAAATCTTTTTCCAACCTGACACCTGGAAGAGGTGTGGACCTCAGGCTGACTGGGGGATCTGGGAGTTGAAGTCCCAAACATCCTAAAGTTGCCAAGTTGAAAAGACGCTGCTCTAATATCTTGCGGTTTTGGGGGGTTTTTTTTCCACCCCTTACCTTTAACAATTTATTCACCGCAAAAGAGGCCTTGGATAACATATTTTCTTCGAAAAAGAGGCTCTTTTTTGGGGGACCCACCCCCTCCCATATTTGTCTTCTGTGCTTTGCAGAAGAGAATGAAAGAAATCATGTTGCAGTGTTTTCTCTCCGTCAAATCCAAGCTGGAATGCAAACTGGGCTTTTTTGATCTCATCGGCTGCGACTTTTTGATCGATGAAGATTTTAAGGTATTCCCTCTGCAATCTCCCTCCCATCCCTGACAATTTCCCTACAACCTTCAGATACACAAAACTGAATCGTATTAGCCAGATTCTGTCTCCCTTGTGGCCAATTAATCGCTTTGCAAACTCCCCAGCCAATCAATCCCCCTCTTTTCCCATCCCCCTTTCCCCCCCTCCAAGATCTGTGAGTAATCCTAGATCTTGTTATTCTGGATTAATGGCCACCCATGATAAAGCGCCCTTTAATTTTAGCCGAGCTGCGAACTCATTACACTTTGTGGGTAATGAGGGTGCCTGCTTGCCAGTTGCATCCCACCCAGCCTGGCTGTGGCTTTTGTGTGGTGGTGCAAATCCAGGAAAATATGTCCATTCTGCGATCAGCTTAAGTTGGTCCCGTAGGGACATTTGGGGGATGAAGGACGGGGTTTCCCAAAGACGCCACCTGTTTCTCCAGTGATCATAATCTCACTGATTTTCCCCTCCCGCAAACTTTGCAGAAACTGGGATGAAATAAATAAACTTTGCAGAAACTGAGATGGAAGTCCAGCGTCACCCAATGGCAAAACACAAAATAGATTTTTCAGGGAAGATTTTTGAAAATCGTTGCAAGAACCTTATCCAATAAATCAGCAAATCACATCAGTTTGAGGCTTAAATTCTAGCTAGGAAGCAACAGACAAAAAATCTCTCTCCCTCTGTCTCTATCTCTCTCTCTCTCTTTATCTCTTTATTTCTCTTTTTCTCTTTCTCTCTCTCTTTCTCTTTCTCTCTCTTTCTTTCTCTCTCTTTCTCTCTTTTTATCTCTTTTCTCTCTCTTTCTTTTCTCTCTTTTTCTCTCTTTTTCTCTCTTTTTCTCTCTTTCTCTCTTTCTTTCTCTCTCTCTCTCTCTCTCTCTCTTTCTTTCTCTCTCTCTTTTCTCTCTCTCTCTCTCTCTCTCTCCCACTTTTGATGGTATTTTTTTGCAGAAGTGTGGCAAAAAGCTGGAAGATTTGAAGTGGCTGTAAAGATACAATTTGCTTATTTTTAAGAAACTAGGAAAATTGAATTGGACAGGAGTGAGAGGACCTAGTCTTTGAGATTCAGCATAGCTAAAGTGCAGCTTTGTTATTAGATACTAGAATAAAACATGAACTTGTGGCTCAAAGTGTCTTGCGAAGGCAGCCAGAGGCTATCGCTCAGCAATTGTAGCTATGTCCAAATGGACATAAATTGGACAAGAAGGGGAAAAAACCCTACAATCACAACTGTTGGTTCAAAAATATGTTGTTGTTTTTTAAACTCGGTCTGGTTCCCCCCCCCCCTTTTAGAATTACTTCTCTGTGCATGTGTGATATTTAATCTGGTCTTGAAAAAGAATTTGGGGGGGCCAAAAAGAACGAAGCCAAAGAAACCATTTCTGGGCTCACGCTTCAAAGGGATTTAGGAGGGATGTTTTGGAAGTTTCAATAAACCCTCACAACAAGGGGGAAGGAAATACTGTAGGCCTCACTGTAACCAGTGCTACCTTCCACAGGTGTGGCTCTTGGAAATGAACGCCAACCCTGCACTGCACACCAACTGCACGGCGCTGAGGAACGTCATCCCCACGGTGGTGAACGAGACGCTGAGTAAGTTGCAAGAATCCGGGGGCTGGGAAGACCTTTGGGTGTGAGACCTTGGCATTTGGCAAGCAAAATATTTCTTTCGGGTCTGCTCGGAAAACAGGTGGGGAAACAACCTGGATACAGGCAGTCCTCGACTAAGGATCGCAACGGAGCCCCCAGAATATCTGTTGCTAAGCCAGACAGCGGTTAAATGAGTTTTGCTCACTGCGGTTGTTAAGTTGGCAACCCGGTTAGATTAGAGCAGTGGTTCTCAACCTTTTTAATGCCGCGACCCCCCCCCCAACCGGTCGTAAGTCAAGGACTACTCAACTGGTCGTAAGTCGAGGACTACTCAACTGGTGCACCACCGTTTGCAGACTGGGGCTTTTGGTGGGCTCAGCAGGGCAGAGACAGCCTGGACAATTCCTATTGGCTTTGGAAGCCAATAGAATTAGACTCTATTCAAGAGAGTCTATTCTATTGGCTTTCGAAAGCCAATAGAATAAAAGGGAGGAGCACAGCTAAGGAAAAGGGGGAAAAAAATGGCGGACTGCGTTGTTTGGCGACCCCCGTGAAATGGTCGTTCGACCCCAAATGGGGTCCCGACCCACAGGCGGAGAACCACTGGATTAGAGCATTTGAAAGCCACCTTAGGCCAGGGCCGACTTTCTTTGCTCCAATCAGGATGTTCTCCCATTTAGGCCACCTCTGCTGAGTTTTCTGGGGAAAACCCAGCACTCTCCTTCTCTCTCTCCCTAGGATCCCCCCCATCCCCAGACTGAACCCCACTCTCGATTTCCTTGCCGCTTTCAGATCTGACGGTGGAGATCTTCGCCAAGGCTCAGAAGACCCACAACATCCTCCCTCTGGAGTCCCTCTGCCACTTCGTCCTCCTCTACAACGGAACGGCTTCCAACAACGGGCTCCCCCTGCCAGCCAAGAGCAAGACGTCCCTCTGTTCCCTGAAGACCCCCCAGCCGAGTCTGGAGAAAGCCAGCGGCAGCAGCAGCAGAAGCCCCGGGGTGCCCAACCCTCCACCGGACAAACCGCCGCCCCCCAAAGCCTCCGAGAAGGTGCCAAAGGCAGACAGCAGAGGAGACAGCAAGGGAGAGCCCACGGGCGCTCCGGAAGGGCTGGCTGTGGCCCCCAGCAAAGGCGTGCGACGGGACCCGCTCCCCATGCCTCAGATCCAGATCTCCATCGTTCCCAGCCTGACCTGCTGTCCTTCCGTCAAAGCCATCCTCCGGGGACATCAAGTCTGCACCAGTGGCAACCAGTACATCATCAAGCCGGTTCCGGCCGCCCCGGACAAGGCCGAGGGCGCCGAGCATCAAGCGAAGGCCCTCAACCTGCCCCGGGGGAACTCGAAAGATAAGTCCTACGCCACCTGGTTCCAGCAGACCTTCGGGACCAAGCTGCCGCCGGCCAGCGACGACAACAACAACGGCGGGGAGAACGCCTTGACCAGCTCCCAGATGCTCTCCCTCCATTTGCAGTCCAGCCTGCCGCCCAACACCTTGCTCCTTCCGGAGTTCCCCAAGTCCTTCTCGCCGCTCGTGATGCCCGCCAAAAGGCTGCCGGCAGCCGAGAGCAAGGCCAGGGCCATCGCCGTGAGCCACAATTGCCGGGAATTGCTCCCGGAGGAGAAAAAGATCTCCCACCGGGGCTCTTAAGGCACCCTCCCCACACACAGCCCACGTCCGGACGCTGGTGCATGTCCAAAGTCCTTGTTCTCTTTTTCTTATAAAGAACGAAACCGGGAAGAAAAAGAAGACAAAAAAAAAGAAAGAGCCTTCTTTCTTGGCAGGGGATGGTGGGCACGCGGCGTCTGCTTATTGCTTCGGGTCTCTGAAAAACGGCAGGGCAAAATACTGTATTTGCTAACAAAAAAAAAAAAAAAAGAGCCAATAGCTATTTTTTTTTATTTTTTAATCTTTCGAGCCTCGGAGAGTTTTCTGGGTTCTGCTTTTTCCCCCCTTTGACATTATTTCCCCCCTCCTCCCAAAGACTTATGAATGGGCTGGACTACAATTCCCATCGTCTCAAGCTAGTGCAAAATAATGGGTGGTTTCAAAGGTTCGACTGGACTAGATGATCTCTCTGGAGCCCCTTCCAGCACTCCGGTTCTGGATTTGAGACATTCCAACATTTCAGAAAGGTACCAGGTTGAGGTCTTTGGGTAGGTGATGATGTGTTAGGGGGAAATCATGTCACACAGCCAGCCCGGGATGCATGAATAATATACAGCCAATAATAATAATAATAATAATAATAATAATAATGCAATCCCAAAACAACTGGAGCACCACTTGAACACCATCATTGGCATTGACAAATTCGCTATTAGTCAACTGCAAAAGGCAGCCTTACTAGGAACTGCTTCCATCCTGCGACGATATCTGTAATACCATCAAACATCCACATCTGCCTATCCCAGGTCCTGGGTAAGGACTCGATAGGTAGACAAAATGCCAAATCCAATCTGAACATCTGGCTGACTGCGATGATCAATAATAATAATAATAATAATAATAATAATAATAATAATAATAATATCAAACATCCACATCTGCCTATCCCAGGTCCTGGGTAAGGACTCGATAGGTAGACAAAATGCCAAATCCAGTCTGAACATCTGGCTGACTGTGCAATGATCAATAATAATAATAATAATAATAATAATAATAATAATATACTGCATCCTAAACTGGGGTTGAAATGCCCAGCATCCAGTTGCTTTCAGTAGGCTTTTTGCCCTTCCTGTGGCCACAGTCATGTGCTTTATTAAGCACACAAGACGTGGGATGACCCACCACAAAGACAAACTTTGTCTTCTAATTCTTGGCCGTTCTCTTCCAGCGGCTTCCGTTTTTCTGCCTCATTCTCAACTCCCCCCACCGAAAAAGGTCTTTGGGTCAGCTTTGTCTTCCTCAGCCGGGCTGAGGAATTCTGGGAGTTGAAGTCCACAAATCAAAGGGCCAAGTTTGAAGACCCCTGGTCAAGAGGTTTTTGAACCTTTAACTGCCTTCATCCTTGTGAGCTGATGGGAGTTACAGCTCCCCATTTTCACGGTAAGAAGCTCACGGTCTCCCCTAAATTTCATCACCCCAACAACAACATCCCATTTGGTGTGGCGATTTTCATAAGCCGCACAACACCAAGGAACTAAACCCTCCGGGATTGATGATTTATGCAAATTCTGCTCTTTATTCGCACAAGGCCCCCGTTCTCATATGCAAAGCTAGGACAGTCGCAAACAGAATCATTTCCTGTTACAAATCTCCCTTTTTCTATCCTTCCATCACTCCAAGGAGAGCAAAACAAGACTTCATTAATCAAGGTCTGTTTGGTTTCGTAAAGGGAGACACAAAAATCAAAGCTCGCTCCCCATTCTTTTTGTTGTTGTTGTTATTCTTACTATTTATTTGACGAGAAGGGTATCGCTTCGGCCCAGGTGAGGCTTTGGAAACAAGGATTTCCTTTTGGCGCACGGCGATCCCGTTTGAAAACAAAAAAAACGAGCCAAAATAGAAGGGGTGTTTGTGTGCGTGCATGAAAATGCAACCCATCTCAAGAAACGTGTTGGAGCAAAAAAAAAAAAAAAAAAAGTGTGCTACTGATTGAGTCATCTTTCTGTGACTTCCGAGCTGACTTGTTTAACTTGCTTAGAAAGAAAACTGGGGGGGGGGGGAAAAACCCAGCGCTATCGAAAAGTGCCCAGGTGGGAGATTGTGGGAATGTATTATCTGATAAAACGACGAGATAATCCAGCTGAAAAAAGAAAAAAGAAAAGTCACAAGGAAGCCAGGTTCACTTCACAACCAGGTTTTGCTAGCTGATCAGCTGCAGTGGTTCCTTTAACAACGATGGCAAGAAAAATCGTAAAATGGGGGGCCAAAACTCACTTAACCAACGGCTCGCTTTGCCACAGAAATGGTTCTGCTCAATTGTGGCCGTAAGCCGAGGACTCCCCGTGTTGGCAAAATGAAAGCCAGCATCACAAAACAGATTCTCCCTTGTTTGAGGATCTCAAAGTTTCAGTAGCTGGCAGGTTAATAATAATAATAATTATTATTATTATTACTCAATTACAAAAGGTGGACTTACTAGGAACTGCTTCCATCCTGCGACGAGATCTGTAATACCATCAAACATCCACATCTGCCTATCCCAGGTCCTTGGGAAGGACTCCATAGGTAGACAAAATGCAAAATCCAGTCTGAACATCTGGCTGACTGTGCGATGATCCACAATAATAGTAATAGTAATAATAATAGTAAAGTTGGAAGGGACCTTGGAGGTCATCTAGTCCAACCCCCTGCTCAGGCAGGAAAACCTATACCATTTCGGACAAGTGGCTGTCCAGTCTTGGCTTCCCAAGACAGTTTTGAAGACCAACGTGGTTGTAAGGACTACCTCTCCTTTCTAAACCCGTCCTAAAATATCCTCAGTCTTATCCTAGTCCGAAACTGGATTCAGACCTGAAGTGCTGAGCTAGGATAAACTGGAACCCAGGTCCCCGAATAATTATTAGAAGAGCAGCAAAGCATAATAGGTTTTACCAGCATCAGCAGCTTTGAATGGGGAAAGTCCCTCCCGCCCCCCTCTCTCTCTCTCACGCCTGGCAAAGAATTACAAAAACCGAATTATGACAAAGCCCGGATGCGGCAGCTATTTCGGAATCTGCAAAGTCTCTTTCATATGCAGATTTTTTCGAGGATGAGTTTCTGTTTTGGTCTCTGAAAAGGCATCAGCTGGTACAATCTGAAGGTTGTCTGTTGCTTAATGACTTTGTGGGTAGTTCATCAGAGGAGCAAAAGGGGCTGTGAAAATTGTTGGAAACACACACACACACACACACACACACACACACACACACACACATGCATACAAAGAGAGAGAGCGAGAGAGCGCTCGCGTCTCCCCTATCTTCTTTGGTATATATTCCACTTTTTGATCGTTTTGACGTTTCAAAATATTCTTTCAGATTTTTACAGAATAGCATGCTCGAAGGGAAGCATTACATTTCTTCTTTTCTTTTCTTTTTTTAAAGGAGGAGTAGGAAGAAGAGGAAATTGTTATAAAATAGGAAATGGCCCATCAGATTTCAGGGAAAGTTTTGTGGCAATTGTAAGTGAGAACCGGTTGGATGGTTCTTGATTTCTTTTAAGGGGGAAATGGCCCTTTGCTAAGCCAGAGAAATTTAGGTTGAAAAATCAGAACTCAGGCTGGGAAAGGAGACCAACATCTTTTTCAACTCCATTGATTCCTTCCTTCCTTCCTTCCTTCCTTCCTTCCTTCCTTCCTTCCTTCCTTCCTTCCTTCCTTTTCTTTTTTCCTTTTCTTTCTTTCTTTCTTTCTTTCTTTCTTTCTTTCTTTCTTTCTTTCTTTCTTTCTTTCTATCTTTCTATCTTTCTTTTTCTTTCTTCCTTTCTTTCTTCCTTCCTTTCTTCCTTCCTTTCTTTCTTTCTTTCTTTCTTTCTTTCTTTCTTTCTTTCTTTCTTTCTTCTCTTAGAAACTTGGTAGAGGAAAACAGATTTGCAGGGAGAACGTGGAGGCATTTTTTTTTTCCTGACTTATCTCTGGACCCTAAGTTCGTTCTCTGAAGTTAGATTTAGGCCAGTCAGTAATTTATCCAAGTGACCTTATGGAAGCGATGAGTTTTCAGAAGTTTAAAATCAAAGGCTGGGGGCTGATTTGCCCGAGAATTTGGAGAAACCAATTTCTTGCATCCCAGGGGTTGGACTAGATGACCTCTGAGGTCAACTCCAAACTCTAGGATTGCTTGGGGCATTTCCAGAAGCAACTGGAAATCAGACGATCAGTGAAAAGAAGATTGGCTTTAGCCGAAGTGTCCTACCTTTGCGCTCGTGCAAACAAACAAAAAAAAGACACAGAAAGCTTTACAATTTACATCCTGTCTTTATTATTTTTACACACAAATCAGGGTGGCAGATGTATGCCACACACCTTCCTCTTCCTGTTTTCCCCACAACAGCCCTGTGAGGTGGGCTGGGCTGAGGGAAGGGGACTGGCCCAACGTTACCCTGCCAGCTTTCATGCCTAAGGCGGGATTTGAACTCACAGTCTTCTGCTTTCTAGTCTGGTGCCGTAACCACTGGATCAAACTTCCCAAGACGTTCATTGAGTGACATTTTCATTCTATTTTTAGATGTACTTTGCCCCCCCCCTCAAGTCTGACTTGCAAACAAAAAAAAAATTCTCAAAACCAAAACTGTTATCAATCAATGTTTATGAAGACCTTGATCATTTCAAAATTCAAAAAGAGGAGAAACCAAAATCACCCATGTTGTTTTAGATTTGTGAATCTGAAAATCAGTTTCCAGATCTATCATCTCTATATATCTATCTGCCTGTCTATAGCTGTCTGTCTGTCTGTCTGTCTATCATCTATCATCTATCTATTATCTATCTATCATCTGTATGTCTATCTATATCCATCCATCCATCCATCTCAATCTATTTTTATTTCTCTATCTTCATCATTACTTCTATCTATTTAATTTATTTACCTGTCTCTACCATCTATCTATCTCTGTCTATCTATCTATCTATCTATCTATCTATCTATCTATCTATCTATCTATCTATCTATCTATTTATCATCTATCTTCATCATCATCATCACTTCTATCATCTATTTAATCTATCTACCTCTCTCTCTCTCTCTTTCTTTCTCTCTCTCTCTCTCTGCCTGCCTGCCTGCCTGCTTGTCTACCTAATGTGTCTATCTATTTCTCCATCCCTCTATCTACCTATCATCTATCTTCTCTATCTACAGACAAGCTACAAAACAGGGTTGACTGGAAGGTCCCTTCCCATTTTGCTATTCTGTTAAAAGCCTAGCCCGAAACAACGCAGCAGACATGAAAAGTATTCATAGGATTTTACAAGGGAACCACATTGACAGATCAACAGTATAGTATAAAAAGAAAATGCTCTTTTTTATATCAGGTCTCAGCCCTTCTCCTCCCTCCAAAATGTTGAGGAAGACCAGGAGAATAATTGAATGAGAGCCAGATATTTCACACCGTCCAGATGGGGATGGATTTCAAAAAAGGACTGGCTGAAATCTCCAAATAGTCCATTCAAACAGCCATTTCAAAAATCAGATCCCTTTGACAGTCACACATAAAGCCATTGGGAGACAGAGGTGCTCTCTAATGAAATGAGAGCAAATTATACCGTGCAATGAATTGTATGATTGTTCCTTATTTGTGAATGGGATAATTCCCCGCCCGATGTTGGAAAACTTTCTCTGTTCTTCGTTTTGACCAAAAGCCTGGCAGATCCTATTTTAATGTTGATTATAAAAAAAACAACAACTCTTTTTTACCATTTCATCCACAGGTAAAATGGTATTTTGTAAGATCAAACCCCAACCTGGCATTTTATGCACCAATATAATCCTCTGAATAGCCGTTGGGACTCAGTGGTTCTAATTGAGGATTTACATCTATATATTTATGCCTTTCGGACTCCCATTTTGGGAGTAAAAATTAATGTTTCCTTCAAGAAACAAACAGAAAAGTTGAAGAGTCTTCAACTTAAAAAAATACAACAACGCTACATGTTAACTGTATTGCTTTTACAAAAACAGAATATCCGTTGCCAGCTTCTCTTTTTAAAATATTTTATTTCCAAAGCTGGTTTGCTTTTAACTGAATTCTCTTGCATTCAATGTAAATTGAAAATAACAGCTATTTGCTCTTAATTTACAACCTGAATTATTACAACAAATATTAATAATTATTATCATGATATTATTATAATCATTATATTCATAATTATTTCATGATATCAGCTGGGCCCATGTTACTTCCTTGTTATAATTCTTAGATTCCTGATTATACCTCAAGTTTCTTACGAAATCAAGGCCAGACACGGGGTTATTGTTGTACTTCCTGTGATCCTTGGATGATTAAAAATGTAAGAATAAAATGATTTGCAAGCATGTTTTTCACAATCTTTTTTAAAACAAAGAAGGCTTGTGAAAAAAAAAATGTAAATCTAGGCAGGTTCTTCAAAAGAACCACCAAAAAAAAAAAAAACCCCTCAAACAAAGGAGAAATGGAAACAAAGATACGGAAAAGATGGTTGATTCATTCAGAAAAAGAAAGGCATTGATTGAAAAACAAACTCAGATAAACTCTGAGCTATTTCTGATTCAGTAGTCAAAATTCTGTGTTTTAGGTTTTTTTTTCTTTTTTCTTTTTCTTAGATCATCCCTGAACAAATTTGGATTTAACACCAACGTCCTGTTCTTGGATCGGCATTCGGTAATCGCTCTCTTTATCTGAAAGGAGAAGGAAGGGGGAGAAAATTATATTTCAGAGAAGACAACTCAAAATGTGGTATGGAAATGGCATTGAAAGCATAATTTGAAATGAAACATTTCTTAGCATGTAATGAAACTTACAAATTACACCCATTTGTTTAGCAGCACTCTAAAGTTACAGCAGCACTAAAAGAAATGATTTACGGCCAGGGCCTTGCAGTTATGTCGTTTTTTTAAATTAGTTTATAATATAAAATGCAAAAGAAAATGGTAGGAAAAAAATAGGGGGGGGGGAAGAAAGGAAGTGAAGAGTGAAGAAAAGACTTCCAATGCCCTTTGGCGCATTAGAAAAAGATAATAACACCAAAACCTCGTGTTTTTACTTTTGCATAATAGCATAAACTAGCCATTTCTATAACAACACACTTATCGGTAAAAACTCCAAAATCAAAGTTTCACTGTTTTCCCACCACAAGCACGAAGTCCAGAAGCCGTTGCCAAATAGAAACAGAATTAATTGTATTTTTTTTCCCCTTTAATCAAGCTGTTTAGCCAGCTCTGCTAACTCCATCAGCTTTTGTTGGGAATGCAAATGGAAAAAAGGGCCTTTTTTATCGTTTATGGCGGACGTATGACGAAGCAAAGAAATAATGGAGTAGGATTCACAGAATTCTAATACAGAAGATTCTCAAAGCGAATATAAAGATAAACAACAGAAACTTTTCTTTTGGGTTTAATGGAAAAAGACTTGGAGGGGAAAAAATTGGGAACTTGGACGTTATATTGATGTCAGCAAGACTAGTTTATGCGCAAATGTCCCACAGCAGACGAATAGCAGCAGCAGTCCTCGCACTTACGACGGTCGCAGTGATCAAAATTGGGGCATTTAGTAATCGACCTGTGTGTACAATGGTTGCAGATCCCCGGGATCATGTGATCTCCATTTATGACCCTCCCAGCTAGTTCTGACTAGCAAAGTCAAACGGGGAAACGACATTGCTTAATGTCTGCCGTGATTTCCTTAATAGTCATGGCAAAAAGGGTCTTAAAACTGGGTGTGGCTCACTTAATAACTGCCAGTCCCAATCGTGGTCGTGAACTGAGGACTTCTGGTCATTTGGCTGGAATTGCAACACATTTTCCTAGAAAGCAATTAGCCAGCTGCAGGAAAACCTCATCCTCCTCTTTGTATTAATCGTATAAAGAGGGGACAGCCGTTTGTAAATCAAAAAGGATGCATATTCAGCCACGTGAGCCCGTAAAGGGAGTCCCTCGAAGCTAATAAAATCAGATTTTAAACCGGCCTGTCGGTGGCAGCCCCACACTCACCCTTGCAGGGGACAGCATAAATCTCATTGCACGCGATTTCCAGTTTCTTTTTCTTCGTCCTGCGATAAAAGAACAGGAAGACCAAGACCCCAGCTATGGCCAGCAGGAGGAGAACGGTGATGAGAATCCATAAAAATCCTAAAATCAATCAATAAATAAAATAAAACAGAAGAGAGAAAGCCCAATGAAATTTGCAGAGGATCCTTTTAAAATGAATGGCACTCACTGCTAGGGAGGAGTGAACCACGCCAAGCTCAAAATTTAAGGAATCTCCCCTCTTTCTTTCTTTCTTTCCTTCCTTCCTTCCTTCCTTCCTTCCTTCCTTCCTTCCTTCCTTCCTTCCTTCCTTCCTTCCTTTCTTTCTTTCTTTCTTTCTTTCTTTTCTTCAGAGAAAGCAGCAAAGAAAATTTGGAGCCAAGAGAGAAGCAACCTAGAACTAAGGAGGAATTTCCTAACAGCGAGAACAATTGACCAGTGGAACTGCTTGCCTCCAGAGGTTGTGGGTTCTCTATCACTGGGGGCTTTCAAGAAGAGACTGGACAGCTCCTTGTGTCAAATTGTATAGCGTCTCCTCCTTGAGCAGGGGGAGGGTTGGACTAGATGACCTCCAAGATCCCTTCCAACTCTATTATTCTATCCCCTGCAGACTCTCTAGATTTGGGGGATTAACTTGCCTGCGCCTTCACACCTGCCTGGTATTTACCTGGATTTGTAGCCACAACAGTCGGAGTTGAATCCAGCTTTGTGGCGAAGACGCCTGCCTCCTTTGGAAATGGAGTGCGCTGCGTGACAGGGTGCCGGGTGGAAATCCCGCTGGACGGCTTGTCGCAAATCGTGTCAGCGTCTCGCTTGCCGGATCGTAGGATTTCCCTTCCGCTGGCTGTGCAACTACGAAACAGAAAGAAAGACAAAGGACCTGGCGCCGTTACTGAACAACAACAACAAAAAGACATTTCACAGAGATTGCTCTTCGCCCTGTCTTGTATCACAAAGAGCCCAAAGGTGGGTAGCTTTAAATCAGTGTCTCTCAGTCTTAACTGTTTAAAAACCTGTGGACTTCCGCTCCCAGAATTCCCCAGCCAGGTATTCCTGGATTCCCCAGGTATTCTGGGTGTTGAAGTCCCCAGGTCTTACAGTCGCTGAGATTTTAAAAAAAAAAAAAACACAGGTGGAAATCTCTTCCATGTGCTTTTCCCTTTCCTAGGACTGCGATTTCGCTCACGTTCTCCTTTCGACGTTCACACACGTCTTGCGCCCACCTTCCTTTGCAATCGGGCCACAGCGAAATACCTCTAGGCCCATAAGGAGCAGCTGCACACCGCTGCGTTTCCTTCTCAGCAGTAAAACCTCCCTTTAAATCAGTGGTTCTCAACCTGTGGGTCGGGACCTCATTTGGGATCGAACGGCCATTTCATGGGGGTCGCCAAACAACGCAGTCCGCCATTTTGTGCCCCCCTTTTCCTTTTAGACTCTCTTGAATAGAGTCTAATTCTATTGGCTTTCCAAAGCCAATAGGAATTGTCCAGCCCGCCAAAAGTCCCATTCTGCAAACGGTGCTGCACCAGTTGAGTAGTCCTCGACTTACGACCGGTTGAGTAGTCCTCGACTTACGACCGGTTGGGGGTTGCGGCATTAAAAAAGGTTGAGAACCACTGCTTTAAATCAAGCCAAGATGCACATCTGAACAGGTCCCACCCAAGCCAAGGATGCTGGTTGGGGTTTTTTTGTTTTTTTTTGGTGTTCTTTCATTTAGTGAGCTTGTAAAACATTTTGAAAGAGAAGTCTTCACCGTGGTTCAGTCCGAGCTGGGAATAAACATGGTGACTGCTTTAGAAAGAAGCAGTTTATTGAAGAAGAGCCAAAGATACATCAAAAAAAAAAAAAAAACACAAAACACTCCAGTTTGGGTGATTTTTTTTTCCCCCTCGCTTAGCTCCGAGGATCGTTTGAAATCCCCTGCAGGGATGGCTTCTCAGCCTGGCCTACCTCGAAGGGCTGACACCCCCCCCCAAGTCCCTTTCCCTTCAACTCCCTCCCCATTCATGTGAGGTTCCCTGAAGCAAATACATACTTGGTCCAAGCACGACATTCCTCCTTTCCCCCGAGGGAGAAATACCCGCTGGGACAGGGTTTGCATGCTGCAAAACGACACGGGAGAAACGAGTGGGGTTGTGAGAAAAGGGGGAACAGTTGATGTACCCCACTAGGTTTGATTTTAGACGGGCCCACCTGAAATCCATCCTTGGCCCTTACTTATCTCCTCGTTGCTCCCTCCCGGAGCGTGGCCGGGAAGACAGGCGCAGACGGTATTTGAAGTCCTCCGACAGGCTCTTACTTCCCGCAGGCCTCGGTCTAGGTAAGAGAAATAAAGACGGAAATTTCGGACGGCAAAGTTTTGCGGCACATGCCGTTTCTAGCGGGCCTTTGTGGAAACAGACGGGGGGAAAAAAATTTGAGTGCGGCTGACAGCTCAGCACCAACACTTCACCACCGATCTCTCCCTATTTTTTTTAATTTTTTTTTTTTAATTTTATTTATAACACAGGGGAAAGCAATTCGAGCTCCACCAAGCGTAAGCCGCCGTTGTGAAAAACCACAAAGCGGCACTTTTCCTGTGAAGGAAACCGGCGAGGATGTGGCGGTGATCTTCTTTGCCCACGGGGCCTTACCGGCATGGCATTCTGTGCAAGGTTTACACCGCGAGTAGGTGTAGGCGTCGTTGTAGTAGCCCTCATCGCACGGCTCACACTCGGTTGGGGACGTCAGTGTGCAACGTCTCACTAGTTGCTCTCCTAAAGGCAAGAACAGGTTTGTGGATGGAAGCAGCGCCTCGTTTCCTCAGCCCCAAGTGACATCCCATCTTTCCAGAAGCTCAGTTTCCTTCTCCAGGTCACCCTCCAAACAACTCTGCGAGGTAGGTCGAGGAGTTGCTATCAACCTTCCATTGAGCAGGGATTAGAACTCGGGGCTGTCTTCAGCTAAGCCAGTGGTTCTCCACCTGTGGGTCGGGACCCCATTTGGGGTCGAACGACCATTTCACGGGGGTCGCCAAACAACGCAGTCCGCCATTTTTTCCCTCTTTTCCTTAGCTGTGCTACTCCCTTTTATTCAGTTGGCTTTTGAAAGCCAATAGAATAGACTCTCTTGAATAGATCTAATTCTATTGGCTTTCAAAAGCCAATAGGAATTGTCCAGGCTGTCTCTGCCCTGCTGAGCCCGCGAAAAGTCCCATTCTGCAAACGGTGCTGCACCAGTTGAGTAGTCCTCGACTTACGACCGGTTGAGTAGTCAGCTATCATGGTCAAGGAGGATGGGAATTGTAATCCACAGCCCAGCAGTCTCTCTCTCTCTCTCTCTCTCTCTCTCTCTCTCTCTCTCTCTGTCTCACACACACACACACACACACACAAACGGTAAGTGCCAAACTCCAAATGAGACTCAGCACGATGGCATGGCTGAAAAAATTTAACGTCTCTCTGGTTTCATGGATTCTCACAACCCCCCTTGACACCTCTATCCCCAGTGAGGTACGTACTCCTTCCCTCAACCTTTCAGAAGCGATCGACATTGCAATCCAAACCACACCAGCCTGATTATTAAGAAAATAAAGAGACGACATCTAATGAATTGGGACTGTTCCCTCAAATTGTAAGCAGGGAGTCTTTGGATGGGAGACCACCAGGAGTTTCTAACACAGTAAGCTAGATCGGGGGGGGGGGTCTGAGAAACATCCAGGACAGTGTCAGTGGCAAACCAAAACACGGCAGAGATGTCAGCATTAGATGTCAATTTTAAAATTAATTATTATTTTTTTTTAAAAAAAAAAGTGGTAGGGAATCAGGATACCTCCAGAACCCTATAGAGGTTCACGGAGATAAGACAAGCTCCTCCCCATTCCAGCCAAGAAAAATCAGTATTTTTCTTTCCTTTGCAAACAATTGAAAACAATTTTGGATGGAGCAGCCCTAGAAAGCAGCGGATAGAAATAGATAGATAGATAGATAGATAGATAGATAGATGGATGGATGGATGGATGGATGGATGGATGGATGGATGGATGGATGGACGGACGGACGGACACAGACAGACAGGCAGATGATAGGTAGGTGGATGGATGGATGGATGGATGGATGGATGGATGGATGAATGGATGGATGGACAGACAGACAGATGATAGGTAGGTAGATAGATAGATATAAACTTTTTGTCACTTTAGATGTACATTAATCAGCATACATTATAATGAAATTTCGTTGCATTCCGCTCTCAAAGGTAACCACCTCCACTATACACTACATAAATGTAGAAACGGTGGATTGAAAGAAGATCTGCGTTCGAATGCCCCCACATCTTCAGCGTCACTAACCTGCAGGACAATCTTTGCAGCATTTCTTATTTGAGAGGACATATTCGTGGTTTGAACACGACAGCCCCCAGCCCAGAGAAGACCAGAGAGAGGCAGCCAGAGAAATCAACTCCAAACTCGCCTTCATGTCCCGTGCCACAGACTCACAGACGCTGCTGTGCTCGGAGGGAAAAAGCCCCACCACCTCTCTGGGCTCTGCAAGGCAGGAAGGATCTGCTCCGGCTTTTGTGGGCCTCGGGGAAGTTCCAGATCTGATTCGTCTTGAAGAGCTGGGGTTTTCACCCCGGGGGAAAAGCCTGCGTCAGTTCGTACCTCCCCAATGTGGAAGTTGTCAGCAAAAACAGAGAGCGCACCTGTAGTCTCTATCAGGCTGCAATAATGCAAATGGCCACCGGAAGGCAGTCCTTTTATGCTCTGATCTATACATGGTCTTTATAAGACTAAAATATTGCAAATGGCCACCGGAGGGCACCCTTTTCATGCCCTGTGATGTAGATGAACTTTGTAGTCCCTTTCAGGCCACAAAAGGAAATAAACCCTTTTAATATGATTTTAAGATTATTATTATTTATCTATTGAAGCTATTGAATGTATTAAGGGTCAAAAAACAGGGCCATCCTGTGGTTGAAGCAGTACGTGCGGCACTGTACGTACGGCACCGTATGCACAGCACCGCATGTACAGCACCGTACGTACAGTACAGTGCCGTACGTGCAGTGCTGTATGTGTGGCACCGTACGTGCAGTATTATACGTGCAGTACCGTACATGCAGTACTGCACGTACAGTGCCGTACGTACGGTGCTGTACGTGCGGCACTGTATGCACAGCATTGCACGTACAGTACAGTGCCGTACGTACTGTGCCATACGTGCAGTACTGATGTACATACGGTACTGTACTTGCAGTACTGTACGTGCGGCACCGTATGCACAGCACCACACGTACAGTACAGTGCCGTACGTACGGCGCTGTACGTGCAGTGCTGTACATATGGGGCTGTACGTGCTGTACTGCTGTACGTGTGGTACTGTACGTGCAGCACCGTACGCACAGCACTGCACGTACAGTACAGTGCTGTACTATACTGCTGTACTATACTGCATTAAGCAAAATATTATTTTGCAGACATGTTTCTTTGCCATAGTGTTATTTTGGCTAAGAAACCATGAATGAAACCGTGATTTGCTATAAGGGTGGACTATCTGAAGCTACATATGGCTTTTTTCATTTGTCAACCCCCCCTGCTCAAGCAGGAGACCCGATGCTCTATTTAGTGACCTGAGTTTTTATTCCATCCACTGATAAACCACAAGTACACCTTCACTCAGTCTTGGGGTTTTATCATTCCTGCCCTGCAGGAGTGCCAAGGAGAGGATATTAAGTCTGGTTCTAAAAAATGCTATTCTACTCTTAGGAAAGCTCAGGTCTTTCAAATACCTTGCTGGTCCCCACACACCCCATTTAATCCATTTTCTTGCTGCAGAGAGAGATTCTGTTAAGCTCTAGCTGGAACTCCACGTCTCTTATTCTGTTGGTAGCCGCTTTGCTTGGGTTGGTCGTAGCCGAGGGATATTTAAAAACAGTGAGCAAAGTGCACAGGAGGCCCGCTTAGGCTCCCATCGGCTGTTTCCAGGGAGAGGGGAAGTTATTTATTGAGACTAAAGCGGTCAAGTCCTCTGGGAAGAATTGAGTCCTACAGGTAAAGAAGGAATACCAGCCACAAAAGGAAATAAACCGTTTTAATATGATTTTAAGATTATTATTATTTATCTATTGAATGCTATTAAGGGTCAAAAAACAGGGCCATCCTGTGGTTGAAGCAGGTAGAGGAGCCATTACAAAACTTTTCAATGGCATTTTAAGGCTATTCTTTATTATTAAAACCTTATTAATATTACTAGGGCATCATAGTCCTCCTTAACCAGGTTTAAGGCTTTTGAAGCAGATTTCTTCTTCCGTGCCTGCGTTGTAGCAAACGGGCCTCCCCTGGCCCTATTAATAAGGTATTAATACCCTTAATAAAGATAGAGAATACCGTAATCTTAAATTGCCATTAAAAAGTATTTATTTCTTTCGGCGGCAGCAATACCCGCTTTTGACCACAGGAGGGCACAGTTTTCCGTCCCATAGCATTAACGTTGAGGCCGTCGTAGGCCTTTTGCCCAGGATCGGGACACCGAGAAGCTAAGCTCCAAAGCGCAGAGCGTCCGCCAAAGCGTCGCCACTCTATGCTCCTCCGAAAGGGACGGGCCGCTTCCCTCGGCCTTCTGCGCATGTCCGCAGTACCGCGCATACAGCACCGTACGTACGGCATCATAGTCCTTTTTAATACCGTTAATAAAGATAGAGAATACCTTAATGTTAAAATGCCATTAAAAAGGCTATTATTTCTTTTGGTGGCCGCAATACCCGTTTTTGACCACAGGAGGGCAGGGTTTTCGGTCCCATAGCTTTAGCTTGGACTCCATGGTAGGCTTTTTTTAATGGCCTCCATCCTATAGCCAAGGGACGGAAAACTAAATAAATAAACTAAAATAAATAAACTAAAATAAATAAACCTCTTTAATGGCGTTTTAAGATTATTATTCTTTATTATTAAAACCTTATTAATATTAATAAGCCACGATAGGCCTTCACTCGGTTTAAGACTCGAATCAGGATTACCTCTGCGCCCGTGTCGCACCGACCGGGCCTCCCGTCCGCCGCGTTAATATTAATAATAAGGCATTAAGAATAAAAATAGAGAAGAATAACCTTAAAATGCCATGAAAAAGGTTTATTTCTTTTGGTGGCCGCAATACCCGCTTTTGACCACAGGAGGGCACAGTGTTTCGTCCCATTGCATTAACATTGAGGACGTCGTAGGCCTTTTGCCCAGGATCGGGACACAGAGAAGCTAAGCTCCAAAGCGCAGAGCGTCCGCCAAAGCGTCGCCACTCTATGCTCCTCCGAAAGGGACGGGCCGCTTCCCTCGGCCTTCTGCGCATGTCCACTGGCTGGTTCTTCGCCAGTAATGTCCGGCAGACCTTCCCGACATGGCGGACCTCCTGTCCCTCGATATCGGCCGTCCCCCAGGTCCTGTGGGGAAAAGGACCTTTCCATCATGGCCGACTTCCGGTCCGTCCTTAGTTATCCTCCAACTTCCTTTTGCGGCGACCTTCTAGGCACGGCGGACTTCACGTCCGAGCAATGAGTTAGGCCGTAAACTTAAAACCCCATTAAAAAGGCTTCTGTCTCTTGGCGGCCGCAATCCCCGTTTTTCACCACAGGAGGGCAGGGTTTTCCGTCCCATAGCATTACCATCGAGGCCGTAGAAAAGGCCTTTTCGACGGCCTCAATGCCGCTATCGCTGAGGGAGGGAAAACAGCGCCCTCGCGTGGCCCAGGCCGGGTATAGCATCCACCAAAAGAAATAAACCTTTAAAACGGCAAAAGGGCCTCGCGTCGCCCTATTAATATTAATAAGGGGTTAATAGTAAAGAGGGGGAAAAATAAATAACCTTAAAATCCCACTTAAAAGGTTTATTTGTTTCGGCCATTCCCAAATGGCTTGGGAGTCGGTCTTCCTATTTATGGCCGACTTCCTGTCCGTCCTTCTTAGTCTTCCCTGCCAACTTCCTTTCGCAGCGACCTCCTCGCCAAGGAGGACTTCCCGTCCGTCCGCTGCGGTCGTCCCCCGGTGCCTTCGGCTACGGCCGACTTCCTGTCCGGTGCTGGGGGTAGAAGGAGGTGGGCGAGCGGGCCGGGTTGTGTCCCCCTCTGCCTTTCTCAGGGGCTGGAACCGCCAGCAGGCCCAGGCAATGAGGGACTCGGTCCAGGAGGAGGGGGAAACGCAGGCTTGGGGGTTCAGGAGGGCTGCGCTTGTCTCGAGGCACCGACGCTTCTTCCCGCCTCTTTTTGGGGGGCGGAGGGGGGGGAGAATGCAGAGCACATCTGTCCCTCTGCAGAACGGGTCGCAGAAATAGCATCCCTTGGCGCAACCTGGAGTAAGTCAAACCGGTTTGAGGCCATCCTGTCAGGGTAGGCCAAGTCCTCAGAAACGTGTGCTTTGAAAAGCAACACAAGGACCTCGTCTCTCTCTGGCTTTTCCTTTGAGAGTCGGTCTCTGTTTATAGTTGGGACCTCCTCCCAATTGTTGTGTTTGTGAAGTTTTGCTTCCTCACTTGTTGCGACGCTGCTTGTCAGTTCTACCTTTTCTGCTTTCTTTCCAAGGTCCCAAAGCACAGAAGAAATTTCAGCGGCTCCCGTTACACCGAATAAAAGGGGATGAGCAGACGTCGAACGCAAAAGGAGATGGTAAGAAACTGCACTTCTGCTCGGGGCCGGCCTGGAAATGCTTATCAAGAAGTGATGAAGTCAGTGAAAGCGATTGACTGTGGGCTACCAAAATGCTGAAACTGAGAAATAAACGCCTCCGCAGGGTGATGCGCTGGAAGCACATATTGTAAGCTCTGGCAAGGGCCCCACTTGGAACGGGGGGACGGGGAGGAGGCGAGGTTGGGGTCCAGGAAGGCTGCACCTGGCTCAGGGACCAGCTGGTTCTTCCAGTTCTGTCCATCTGCAGAACAGGTCACAGAAATAGCATCACTAAGAAAAGGGACCAATTCTGGAAAGCAGTACGCTGCGGGCCCCCGATCCCAGCATCGTCTTCCAAAGATGTAGAACAGACAGAAAAGCGCCCGGTGCCATTTCTTCTTTTGGGGGTTGCAGGCAAACCTTGGACCTCCTGCGCCCAGGCTTCCTTCAAAAGAGCCTGGAGAAGCAGAGAAGTTCCCCTGTTGGGAACACGCTGAAGATGGAGCTTTGAATGCCAGTTGTTGTTCTATCAGTTGTTGTATTGTTTTCTATTGAATGGATTTGTATGACTATTTCACCATTGGTCTCGGTTGTCCTAAGAAGACAATCGACTTATAGCAGTTTTAAAGTAATCAAATGACCTAGAAAGGGCAGCCCTCTTTTACAGCAAGCTGGTTCTGAAATTGAAAGACTAAAAGGAAGTTGGGGGCAACTGAAGGGAACTTGGATGGCTTCGTGAACTGGTCTTTTACTATCGCCAAAAGTTTGCTTCTTTTCATGAGCTACTGAGCTTGCAGAGATCTATATCCTGCCTTTTCTAAAGGAAGGGCAGAATTCTCACCTTCCGTTTGAATAAAGGATGTTTCCGATCTGACCGATCTTGAATGTACTTTCTCATAGACAAATAAATCCATCTTCAGTTGTTTCCCCATTCTTACACCCTAAGCAGTTTATTTTTCTTGCAGATGATGAGGAATCGGTGAAAAAAACCAACAAATGTTCCCTGGTTTGGGAGGTGAGTAATATTTATGGTCTAACTGAGACATTTGGGGATTCCCAGTGTCACTAAGAAAGTCCTGGTTTTTATTATGCCCCCTTACTTCACCAGTAAACCACGGGCAAGGAAAGAGGAATTATCTGCATTACGCGAGCTTCCAATACATGCAGTGCAACCCTCCATACATAGGCTGGCTCAGAATCTCTCCTGCCTCTCTCTGTGTCCTTCTAGGGCCCGGCAAAGGAGCGAAGCTTTGGAGAGGTGACGTTCAAGCAGTGTCCTTCTGAAAACATGGCACGGGAGCATTTTAAGAAACACGGCACTGAGCATTATTGGGATCTGGCTCTGAGCGAGTCAGTCCTAGAACCCACAGACTGACGGCCTTTTCTGGAGCCCCTTCTCACATTTCTGGGCGTTTTGACATAAAGAGCAAGAACTGAGCAGAAATATTAGACTCTAAGCCCCGCCCCCCTCATTCCCACAAATTCCTCACAGTACAATGCATACAATTAAAGGAAATATTTTTCAGATCCAAATAACAGGTTTTGATTTTAATATTTGGCTTTGGACTAACAGGACACACGTGTGAGAGAGAGCTTCAACTTCCCCTCTGCCACAAGTACACCTTCACTCAGTCTTGGGGTTTTATTATTCCTGCCCTGCAGGAGTGCCAAGGAGAGGATATTAAAATGTCTGGCTCTAAAAAATGCTATTCTACTCTTAGGAAAGCTCAGGTCTTTCAGATACCTTGCTGGTCCCCACACACCCCATTTAATGCATTTTCTTGCTGCAGAGAGATATTCTGTTAAGTTCTAGCTGGAACTCCACGTCTCTTATTCTGTTGGTAACCGCTTTGCTTGGCTTGGTTGTAGCCTCGGGATATTTAAAAACAGTAAGCAAAGTGCACAGGAGGCCCGCTTAGGCTCCCATCGGCTGTTTCCAGGGAGAGGGGAAGTTATTTATTGAGACTAAAGCAGTCAAGTCCTCTGGGAAGAATTGAGTCCTACAGGTAAAGAAGGAATACCAGCCACAAAAGGAAATAAACCATTTTAATATGATTTTAAGATTATTATTATTTATCTATTGAATGCTATTAAGGGTCAAAAAACAGGACCATCCTGTGGTTGAAGCAGGTAGAGGAGCCATTACAAAACTTTTCAATGGCATTTTAAGGCTATTCTTTATTATTAAAACCTTATTAATATTACTAGGGCATCATAGTCCTCCTTAACCAGGTTTAAGGCTTTTGAAGCAGATTTCTTCTTCCGTGCCTGCGTTGTAGCAAACGGGCCTCCCCTGCCCCTAGTAATAAGGTATTAATACCCTTAATAAAGATAGAGAATACCGTAATCTTAAATTGCCATTAAAAAGTATTTATTTCTTTCGGCAGCAGCAATACCCGCTTTTGACCACAGGAGGGCACAGTTTTCCGTCCCATAGCATTAACGTTGAGGCCGTCGTAGGCCTTTTGCCCAGGATCGGGACACCGAGAAGCTAAGCTCCAAAGCGCAGAGCGTCCGCCAAAGCGTCGCCACTCTATGCTCCTCCGAAAGGGACGGGCCGCTTCCCTCGGCCTTCTGCGCATGTCCGCAGTACCGCGCATACAGCACCGTACGTACGGCATCATAGTCCTTTTTAATACCGTTAATAAAGATAGAGAATACCTTAATGTTAAAATGCCATTAAAAAGGCTATTATTTCTTTTGGTGGCCGCAATACCCGTTTTTGACCACAGGAGGGCAGGGTTTTCGGTCCCATAGCTTTAGCTTGGACTCCATGGTAGGCTTTTTTTAATGGCCTCCATCCTATAGCCAAGGGACGGAAAACTAAATAAATAAACTAAAATAAATAAACCTCTTTAATGGCGTTTTAAGATGATTATTCTTTATTATTAAAACCTTATTAATATTAATAAGCCACGATAGGCCTTCACTCGGTTTAAGACTCGAATCAGGATTACCTCTGCGCCCGTGTCGCACCGACCGGGCCTCCCGTCCGCCGCGTTAATATTAATAATAAGGCGTTAAGAATAAAAATAGAGAAGAATAACCTTAAAATGCCATGAAAAAGGTTTATTTCTTTTGGTGGCCGCAATACCCGCTTTTGACCACAGGAGGGCACAGTGTTTCGTCCCATTGCATTAACATTGAGGACGTCGTAGGCCTTTTGCCCAGGATCGGGACACAGAGAAGCTAAGCTCCAAAGCGCAGAGCGTCCGCCAAAGCGTCGCCACTCTATGCTCCTCCGAAAGGGACGGGCCGCTTCCCTCGGCCTTCTGCGCATGTCCACTGGCTGGTTCTTCGCCAGTAATGTCCGGAAGACCTTCCCGACATGGCGGACCTCCTGTCTCTCGATATCGGACGTCCCCCAGGTCCTGTGGGGAAAAGGACCTTTCCATCATGGCCGACTTCCGGTCCGTCCTTAGTTATCCTCCAACTTCCTTTTGCGGCGACCTTCTAGGCACGGCGGACTTCACGTCCGAGCAATGAGTTAGGCCGTAAACTTAAAACCCCATTAAAAAGGCTTCTGTCTCTTGGCGGCCGCAATCCCCGTTTATCACCACAGGAGGGCAGGGTTTTCCGTCCCATAGCATTACCATCGAGGCCGTAGAAAAGGCCTTTTCGACGGCCTCAATGCCGCTATCGCTGAGGGAGGGAAAACAGCGCCCTCGCGTGGCCCAGGCCGGGTATAGCATCCACCAAAAGAAATAAACCTTTAAAACGGCAAAAGGGCCTCGCGTCGCCCTCTTAATATTAATAAGGGGTTAATAGTAAAGAGGGGGAAAAATAAATAACCTTAAAATCCCACTTAAAAGGTTTATTTGTTTCGGCCATTCCCAAATGGCTTGGGAGTCGGTCTTCCTATTTATGGCCGACTTCCTGTCCGTCTTTCTTAGTCTTCCCTGCCAACTTCCTTTCGCAGCGACCTCCTCGCCAAGGAGGACTTCCTGTCCGTCCTTCTTAGTCTTCCCTGCCAACTTCCTTTCGCAGCGACCTCCTCGCCAAGGAGGACTTCCCGTCCGTCCGCTGCGGTCGTCCCCCGGTGCCTTCGGCTACGGCCGACTTCCTGTCCGGTGCTGGGGGTAGAAGGAGGTGGGCGAGCGGGCCGGGTTGTGTCCCCCTCTGCCTTTCTCAGGGGCTGGAACCGCCAGCAGGCCCAGGCAATGAGGGACTCGGTCCAGGAGGAGGGGGAAACGCAGGCTTGGGGGTTCAGGAGGGCTGCGCTTGTCTCGAGGCACCGACGCTTCTTCCCGCCTCTTTTTGGGGGGCGGAGGGGGGGGAGAATGCAGAGCACATCTGTCCCTCTGCAGAACGGGTCGCAGAAATAGCATCCCTTGGCGCAATCTGGAGTAAGTCAAACCGGTTTCAGGCCATCCTGTCAGGGTAGGCCAAGTCCTCAGAAACGTGCGCTTTGAAAAGCAGCACAAGGACCTCGTCTCTCTCTGGCTTTTCCTTTGAGAGTCGGTCTCTGTTTATAGTTGGGACCTCCTCCCACTTGCTGTGTTTGTGAAGTTGTGCTTCCTCACTTGTTGCGACGCTGCTTGTCAGTTCTACCTTTTCTGCTTTCTTTCCAAGGTCCCAAAGCACAGAAGAAATTTCAGCGGCTCCCGTTACACCGAATAAAATGGGATGAGCAGACGTCGAACGCAAAAGGAGATGGTAAGAAACTGCACTTCTGCTCGGGGCCGGCCTGGAAATGCTTATCAAGAAGTGATGAAGTCAGTGAAAGCGATTGACTGTGGGCTACCAAAATGCTGAAACTGAGAAATAAACGCCTCCGCAGGGTGATGCGCTGGAAGCACATATTGTAAGCTCTGGCAAGGGCCCCACTTGGAACGGGGGGAAGGGGAGGAGGCGAGGTTGGGGTCCAGGAAGGCTGCACCTGGCTCAGGGACCAGCTGGTTCTTCCAGTTCTGTCCATCTGCAGAACAGGTCACAGAAATAGCATCACTAAGAAAAGGGACCAATTCTGGAAAGCAGTACGCTGCGGGCCCCCGATCCCAGCATCGTCTTCCAAAGATGTAGAACAGACAGAAAAGCGCCCGGTGCCATTTCTTCTTTTGGGGGTTGCAGGCAAACCTTGGACCTCCTGCGCCCAGGCTTCCTTCAAAAGAGCCTGGAGAAGCAGAGAAGTTCCCCTGTTGGGAACACGCTGAAGATGGAGCTTTGAATGCCAGTTGTTGTTCTATCAGTTGTTGTATTGTTTTCTATTGAATGGATTTGTATGACTCTATTTCACCATTGGTCTCGGTTGTCCTAAGAAGACAATCGACTTATAGCAGTTTTAAAGTAATCAAATGACCTAGAAAGGGCAGCCCTCTTTTACAGCAAGCTGGTTCTGAAATTGAAAGACTAAAAGGAAGTTGGGGGCAACTGAAGGGAACTTGGATGGCTTCGTGAACTGGTCTTTTACTATCGCCAAAAGTTTGCTTCTTTTCATGAGCTACTGAGCTTGCAGAGATCTATATCCTGCCTTTTCTAAAGGAAGGGCAGAATTCTCACCTTCCGTTTGAATAAAGGATGTTTCCGATCTGACCGATCTTGAATGTACTTTCTCATAGACAAATAAATCCATCTTCAGTTGTTTCCCCATTCTTACACCCTAAGCAGTTTATTTTTCTTGCAGATGATGAGGAATCGGTGAAAAAAACCAACAAATGTTCCCTGGTTTGGGAGGTGAGTAATATTTATGGTCTAACTGAGACATTTGGGGATTCCCAGTGTCACTAAGAAAGTCCTGGTTTTTATTATGCCCCCTTACTTCACCAGTAAACCACGGGCAAGGAAAGAGGAATTATCTGCATTACGCGAGCTTCCAATACATGCAGTGCAACCCTCCATACATAGGCTGGCTCAGAATCTCTCCTGCCTCTCTCTGTGTCCTTCTAGGGCACGGCAAAGGAGCGAAGCTTTGGAGAGGTGAAGTTCAAGCAGTGTGCTCTGAAAACATGGCACGGGAGCATTTTAAGAAACACGGCACTGAGCATTATTGGGATCTAGGCTCTGAGCGAGTCAGTCCTAGAACCCACAGACTGACGGCCTTTTCTGGAGCCCCTTCTCACATTTCTGGGCGTTTGACATAAAGGGCAAGAACTGAGCAGAAACATTAGACTCTAAGCCCCGCCCCGCCCCCCTCATTCCCACAAATTCCTCACAGTACAATGCATACAATTAAAGGAAATATTTTTCAGATCCAAATAACAGGTTTTGATTTTAATATTTGGCTTTGGACTAACAGGACACACGTGTGAGAGAGAGCTTCAACTTCCCCTCTGCCACAAGTACACCTTCACTCAGTCTTGGGGTTTTATTATTCCTGCCCTGCAGGAGTGCCAAGGAGAGGATATTAAAATGTCTGGCTCTAAAAAATGCTATTCTACTCTTAGGAAAGCTCAGGTCTTTCAGATACCTTGCTGGTCCCCACACACCCCATTTAATGCATTTTCTTGCTGCAGAGAGATATTCTGTTAAGTTCTAGCTGGAACTCCACGTCTCTTATTCTGTTGGTAACCGCTTTGCTTGGCTTGGTTGTAGCCTCGGGATATTTAAAAACAGTAAGCAAAGTGCACAGGAGGCCCGCTTAGGCTCCCATCGGCTGTTTCCAGGGAGAGGGGAAGTTATTTATTGAGACTAAAGCAGTCAAGTCCTCTGGGAAGAATTGAGTCCTACAGGTAAAGAAGGAATACCAGCCACAAAAGGAAATAAACCATTTTAATATGATTTTAAGATTATTATTATTTATCTATTGAATGCTATTAAGGGTCAAAAAACAGGACCATCCTGTGGTTGAAGCAGGTAGAGGAGCCATTACAAAACTTTTCAATGGCATTTTAAGGCTATTCTTTATTATTAAAACCTTATTAATATTACTAGGGCATCATAGTCCTCCTTAACCAGGTTTAAGGCTTTTGAAGCAGATTTCTTCTTCCGTGCCTGCGTTGTAGCAAACGGGCCTCCCCTGCCCCTAGTAATAAGGTATTAATACCCTTAATAAAGATAGAGAATACCGTAATCTTAAATTGCCATTAAAAAGTATTTATTTCTTTCGGCAGCAGCAATACCCGCTTTTGACCACAGGAGGGCACAGTTTTCCGTCCCATAGCATTAACGTTGAGGCCGTCGTAGGCCTTTTGCCCAGGATCGGGACACCGAGAAGCTAAGCTCCAAAGCGCAGAGCGTCCGCCAAAGCGTCGCCACTCTATGCTCCTCCGAAAGGGACGGGCCGCTTCCCTCGGCCTTCTGCGCATGTCCGCAGTACCGCGCATACAGCACCGTACGTACGGCATCATAGTCCTTTTTAATACCGTTAATAAAGATAGAGAATACCTTAATGTTAAAATGCCATTAAAAAGGCTATTATTTCTTTTGGTGGCCGCAATACCCGTTTTTGACCACAGGAGGGCAGGGTTTTCGGTCCCATAGCTTTAGCTTGGACTCCATGGTAGGCTTTTTTTAATGGCCTCCATCCTATAGCCAAGGGACGGAAAACTAAATAAATAAACTAAAATAAATAAACCTCTTTAATGGCGTTTTAAGATGATTATTCTTTATTATTAAAACCTTATTAATATTAATAAGCCACGATAGGCCTTCACTCGGTTTAAGACTCGAATCAGGATTACCTCTGCGCCCGTGTCGCACCGACCGGGCCTCCCGTCCGCCGCGTTAATATTAATAATAAGGCGTTAAGAATAAAAATAGAGAAGAATAACCTTAAAATGCCATGAAAAAGGTTTATTTCTTTTGGTGGCCGCAATACCCGCTTTTGACCACAGGAGGGCACAGTGTTTCGTCCCATTGCATTAACATTGAGGACGTCGTAGGCCTTTTGCCCAGGATCGGGACACAGAGAAGCTAAGCTCCAAAGCGCAGAGCGTCCGCCAAAGCGTCGCCACTCTATGCTCCTCCGAAAGGGACGGGCCGCTTCCCTCGGCCTTCTGCGCATGTCCACTGGCTGGTTCTTCGCCAGTAATGTCCGGAAGACCTTCCCGACATGGCGGACCTCCTGTCTCTCGATATCGGACGTCCCCCAGGTCCTGTGGGGAAAAGGACCTTTCCATCATGGCCGACTTCCGGTCCGTCCTTAGTTATCCTCCAACTTCCTTTTGCGGCGACCTTCTAGGCACGGCGGACTTCACGTCCGAGCAATGAGTTAGGCCGTAAACTTAAAACCCCATTAAAAAGGCTTCTGTCTCTTGGCGGCCGCAATCCCCGTTTATCACCACAGGAGGGCAGGGTTTTCCGTCCCATAGCATTACCATCGAGGCCGTAGAAAAGGCCTTTTCGACGGCCTCAATGCCGCTATCGCTGAGGGAGGGAAAACAGCGCCCTCGCGTGGCCCAGGCCGGGTATAGCATCCACCAAAAGAAATAAACCTTTAAAACGGCAAAAGGGCCTCGCGTCGCCCTATTAATATTAATAAGGGGTTAATAGTAAAGAGGGGGAAAAATAAATAACCTTAAAATCCCACTTAAAAGGTTTATTTGTTTCGGCCATTCCCAAATGGCTTGGGAGTCGGTCTTCCTATTTATGGCCGACTTCCTGTCCGTCTTTCTTAGTCTTCCCTGCCAACTTCCTTTCGCAGCGACCTCCTCGCCAAGGAGGACTTCCTGTCCGTCCTTCTTAGTCTTCCCTGCCAACTTCCTTTCGCAGCGACCTCCTCGCCAAGGAGGACTTCCCGTCCGTCCGCTGCGGTCGTCCCCCGGTGCCTTCGGCTACGGCCGACTTCCTGTCCGGTGCTGGGGGTAGAAGGAGGTGGGCGAGCGGGCCGGGTTGTGTCCCCCTCTGCCTTTCTCAGGGGCTGGAACCGCCAGCAGGCCCAGGCAATGAGGGACTCGGTCCAGGAGGAGGGGGAAACGCAGGCTTGGGGGTTCAGGAGGGCTGCGCTTGTCTCGAGGCACCGACGCTTCTTCCCGCCTCTTTTTGGGGGGCGGAGGGGGGGGAGAATGCAGAGCACATCTGTCCCTCTGCAGAACGGGTCGCAGAAATAGCATCCCTTGGCGCAATCTGGAGTAAGTCAAACCGGTTTCAGGCCATCCTGTCAGGGTAGGCCAAGTCCTCAGAAACGTGCGCTTTGAAAAGCAGCACAAGGACCTCGTCTCTCTCTGGCTTTTCCTTTGAGAGTCGGTCTCTGTTTATAGTTGGGACCTCCTCCCACTTGTTGTGTTTGTGAAGTTGTGCTTCCTCACTTGTTGCGACGCTGCTTGTCAGTTCTACCTTTTCTGCTTTCTTTCCAAGGTCCCAAAGCACAGAAGAAATTTCAGCGGCTCCCGTTACACCGAATAAAATGGGATGAGCAGACGTCGAACGCAAAAGGAGATGGTAAGAAACTGCACTTCTGCTCGGGGCCGGCCTGGAAATGCTTATCAAGAAGTGATGAAGTCAGTGAAAGCGATTGACTGTGGGCTACCAAAATGCTGAAACTGAGAAATAAACGCCTCCGCAGGGTGATGCGCTGGAAGCACATATTGTAAGCTCTGGCAAGGGCCCCACTTGGAACGGGGGGACGGGGAGGAGGCGAGGTTGGGGTCCAGGAAGGCTGCACCTGGCTCAGGGACCAGCTGGTTCTTCCAGTTCTGTCCATCTGCAGAACAGGTCACAGAAATAGCATCACTAAGAAAAGGGACCAATTCTGGAAAGCAGTACGCTGCGGGCCCCCGATCCCAGCATCGTCTTCCAAAGATGTAGAACAGACAGAAAAGCGCCCGGTGCCATTTCTTCTTTTGGGGGTTGCAGGCAAACCTTGGACCTCCTGCGCCCAGGCTTCCTTCAAAAGAGCCTGGAGAAGCAGAGAAGTTCCCCTGTTGGGAACACGCTGAAGATGGAGCTTTGAATGCCAGTTGTTGTTCTATCAGTTGTTGTATTGTTTTCTATTGAATGGATTTGTATGACTATTTCACCATTGGTCTCGGTTGTCCTAAGAAGACAATCGACTTATAGCAGTTTTAAAGTAATCAAATGACCTAGAAAGGGCAGCCCTCTTTTACAGCAAGCTGGTTCTGAAATTGAAAGACTAAAAGGAAGTTGGGGGCAACTGAAGGGAACTTGGATGGCTTCGTGAACTGGTCTTTTACTATCGCCAAAAGTTTGCTTCTTTTCATGAGCTACTGAGCTTGCAGAGATCTATATCCTGCCTTTTCTAAAGGAAGGGCAGAATTCTCACCTTCCGTTTGAATAAAGGATGTTTCCGATCTGACCGATCTTGAATGTACTTTCTCATAGACAAATAAATCCATCTTCAGTTGTTTCCCCATTCTTACACCCTAAGCAGTTTATTTTTCTTGCAGATGATGAGGAATCGGTGAAAAAAACCAACAAATGTTCCCTGGTTTGGGAGGTGAGTAATATTTATGGTCTAACTGAGACATTTGGGGATTCCCAGTGTCACTAAGAAAGTCCTGGTTTTTATTATGCCCCCTTACTTCACCAGTAAACCACGGGCAAGGAAAGAGGAATTATCTGCATTACGCGAGCTTCCAATACATGCAGTGCAACCCTCCATACATAGGCTGGCTCAGAATCTCTCCTGCCTCTCTCTGTGTCCTTCTAGGGCACGGCAAAGGAGCGAAGCTTTGGAGAGGTGACGTTCAAGCAGTGTCCTTCTGAAAACATGGCACGGGAGCATTTTAAGAAACACGGCACTGAGCATTATTGGGATCTGGCTCTGAGCGAGTCAGTCCTAGAACCCACAGACTGACGGCCTTTTCTGGAGCCCCTTCTCACATTTCTGGGCGTTTTGACATAAAGAGCAAGAACTGAGCAGAAATATTAGACTCTAAGCCCCGCCCCCCTAATTCCCACAAATTCCTCACAGTACAATGCATACAATTAAAGGAAATATTTTTCAGATCCAAATAACAGGTTCTGATTTTAATATTTGGCTTTGGACTAACAGGACACACGTGTGAGAGAGAGCTTCAACTTCCCCTCTGCCACAAGTACACCTTCACTCAGTCTTGGGGTTTTATTATTCCTGCCCTGCAGGAGTGCCAAGGAGAGGATATTAAAATGTCTGGCTCTAAAAAATGCTATTCTACTCTTAGGAAAGCTCAGGTCTTTCAGATACCTTGCTGGTCCCCACACACCCCATTTAATGCATTTTCTTGCTGCAGAGAGATATTCTGTTAAGTTCTAGCTGGAACTCCACGTCTCTTATTCTGTTGGTAACCGCTTTGCTTGGCTTGGTTGTAGCCTCGGGATATTTAAAAACAGTGAGGAAAGTCCACAGGACTTCCTGTTTCCTTCCTTGCCTGTTTCCTGGGAGAGGGGAAGTTATTTATTGAAACTAAAGCGGTCAAGCCCTCTGGGAAGAATTGAGTCCTACGGTTAAAGAAGGAATAGCAGCCACAAAAGCAAATAAACCCTTTTGATATGATTTTAAGATTATTATTATTTATCTATTGAATGCTATTAAGGGTCAAAAAACAGGGCCATCCTGTGGTTGAAGCAGGTAGCCATTAAAAAACTTTTCAGTAGCATTTTAAGGTTATTCTTTATTATTAAAACCTTATTAATATTAATAGGGCATCATAGTCCTCCTTAACCAGGTTTAAGGCTTTTGAAGCAGATTTCTTCTTCCGCGGCTGCGTTGCTTCAAACGGGCCTCCCCTGGCCCTAGTAATAAGGTGTTAATACCCTTAATAAAGGTAGAGAATACCGTAATCTTAAATTGCCATTAAAAAGGTTTATTTCTTTTGGTGGCCGCAATACCTGCTTTTGACCACAGGAGGGCACAGTTTTCCGTCCCATAGCATTAAACGTTGAGGCCGTCGTAGGCCTTTTGCCCAGGATCGGGACACCGAGAAGCTAATCCCCAAAGCGCAGAGCGTCAACCAAGGCGTCGCCACTCTATGCTCCTCCGAAAGGGACGGGCTGCTTCTCGGCCTTCTGCGCATGTCCGCCGGCTGGTTCTTCACCAGTAATCGAGAGGCCTCGGCATAGCGTACTTCCTGTCCCTCGATGTCGCCGTCCCCCATATCCTGGGGAAAAGGACCAAGGCCGACTTCCGGTCCGTTCGTTCTTAGTCACCCTCCAACTTCCTTTTGCGGCGACCTTCTAGGCCGTAAACTGAAACCCCCATTAAAAAGGCTTCTGTCTCTCGGCGGCCATGTCGAGAAGGTCGCTCTGTTCTTCCTGCCTGAGGCTGCGTTCGGCTGCCTTTGCCCCTAAAGTAACAATCCTGGTCTTTCATCTCTTGGGAAAGCCTGACTTTTTTGCCCTCTCTGGGGCGAGGAGAGGGGAGGGCCTGAGGTCTGAACCATTTTGCAGTAAGAAAAGCGTTAGGTCGACGTAATGGCGCCTTCTGATGACTTTCTCCCCAAAATGACCAACACAGTTTGTGACTTTTTTGCCCTCTTTGGGGTAAGTATTATTTCCCTGGGTGGCTGCTATTCCAAAATAACTACTGGAGGGCTCTCTCTGCATGCCCTGTGTTATATATGGTCTTTGTAGTCCCCTTCAGACTATCACGCCCAAAATAACCACAGGAGGGCTCTCTTTGCATGCCCTGTGTTATGTATGGTCTTTGTAGTCCCTGTCAGGCCGCTATGCCCCAAAAAACCACAGGAGGGCACTTTTTTATGCCCTGTAGATGGTCTTACAAGCCCCCTTCAGGCTGCTATGTCCAAAATAACCACAGGAAGGCTCTCTTTGCATGCCCTGTGTTATATATGGTCTTTGTAGTCCCTTTCAGGCTGCTATGCCCAAAATAACCACAGGAGGGCTCTCTTTGCATGCCCTGTGCTAGATAGATGGTCTTAGAACCCGCTTTCGGGCCGCTGTAGTCCCTGTAGTCTAAGCCTGAATCCCTGAAATTTATGTGCCAACATATGAACTGTATCTCTATGTTCCCAATTTGGCCTCTTGTTTTTCTCCCTCTGAAGTGGAAAGGGCACAAAGAGACGCAGTCTCTCGTACCGGCATCCAGCCGCCTCCTTCGGGACAGGAAGTCGGCCATGCCGAGAAGGTCGTTCTGAACGGAAGTGGAAGGACAGCCACAGAAACGGACAGGAAGTTGGCCAGGTCGCTGTGGAGGACTACTGCGCATGTGTGACAGGAAGTGGCCAGGTAAGGGTGATTTCCTTGTGTGGCTGCTATTCCTGCCTAAGGCTGCGTTCTGCTGCCTTTGCCCCTAAACTAACAATCCTAGTCTTTCATCTCTTGGGAAAGCCTGACTTTTTTGCCCTCTCTGGGGCGAGGAGAGAGGAGGGCCTGAGGTCTGACCCATTTTGCAGTAAGAAAAGAGTTAGGTTGACTTATGGCACATTCTGATGACTTTATCCCCAAAATGACCAACACAGTTTGTGATAGGTTAGGAAAGCCTGACTTTTTTGCCCTCTTTGGGGTAAGTATTATTTCCTTGGGTGGCTGCTATTCCAAATAACCACAGGAGGGCTCTCTTTGCATGCCCTGTGTTATATATGGTCTTTGTAGTCCCCTTCAGGCTGCCATGCCCAAAATAACCACAGGAGGGCACAATTTGCATTCCCTGTGCTATAGATGGTCTTTGTAGTCCCCTTCAGGCTGCTATTCCCAAAATAACCACAGGAGGGCTCTCTTTGCATGCCCTGTGTTATATATGGTCTTTGTAGTCCCCTTCAGGCTGCCATGCCCAAAATAACCACAGGAGGGCACAATTTGCATTCCCTGTGCTATAGATGGTCTTTGTAGTCCCCTTCAGGCTGCTATTCCCAAAATAACCACAGGAGGGCACTCTTTTCATGCCCTGTGTTATATATAGTCTATGCAGTTCGCTTCAGTTTATCACGTCTAAAATAACCACAGGAGGGCTCTCTTTCAATGCGCTGTGTAATATATGGTCTTTGTAGTCCCTGTCAGACTGCTATGGCCAAAATAACCACAGGTGGGCACTCTTTACATGCCCTGTGCCATAGATGGTCTTTGTAGTCCCCTTCAGGCTGCCATGCCCAAAATAACCAGGCTTAAAACGCTACTCTTCTCTTAGGAAAGCTCAGGTCTTTGAGATACCTTGCTGGTCCCCACACACCCCATTCAATCCATTTTCTTGCTTCAGAGAGAGATTCTGTTAAGTTCTAGCTGGAAGTCCACGTCTCTTATTCTGTTGGTAACCGCTTTGCTTGGGTTGGCTGTAGCCGAGGGATATTTAAAAACAGTGAGGAAAGTCCACAGGAGGCCCGCTTAGGCTCCCATCGCCTGTTTCCTGGGAGAGGTGAAGTTATTTATTGAGACTAAAGCGGTCAAGCCCTCTGGGAAGAATTGAAGCCTACGGTTAAAGAAGGAATAGCAGCCACAGAAGCAAATAAACCCTTTTAATATGATTTTAAGATTATTATTATTTATCTATTGAAGCTATTGAATGCTATTAAGGGTCAAAAAACAGGGCCATCCTGTGGTTGAAGCAGTAGGTGTGGCACTGTACGTGCGGCACCGTACACACAGCACCGCACGTATAGTACAGTGCCGTACGTACAGTACAGTGCCGTACGTACGGTGCTGTACTGCTGTACGTGTGGTACTGTACGTGCTGTACTGTACTATACTGCATTAAGCAAAATATTATTTTGCAGACATGTTTCTTTGCCATAGTGTTATTTTGGCTAAGAAACCATGAATGAAACCGTGATTTGCTATAAGGGTGGACTATCTGAAGCTACATATGGCTTACTTTTTTCTTCTTCCTCCTCCAAAATCTGGATCTTCCTCCCACCTTTTTGGAAAGGTTTTCTGATGTATTGAAGAAAGACACAAATACCAACGGTTTAAAGGAGTTGCTACTAAAGAGAAGCTCTCACATGGGGATCTAATATGCAACAATGCACCATTTGTCAACCCCCCCTGCTCAAGGAGGAGACCCGACGCTCTATTTAGTGACCTGAGTTTTTATTCCATCCACTGATAAACCACAAGTACACCTTCACTCAGTCTTGGGGTTTTATCATTCCTGCCCTGCAGGAGTGCCAAGGAGAGGATATTAAGTCTGGCTCTCAAAAATACTATTCTACTCTTAGGAAAGCTCAGGTCTTTCAGATACCTTGCTGGTCCCCACACACCCCATTTAATGCATTTTCTTGCTGCAGAGAGATATTCTGTTAAGTTCTAGCTGGAAGTCCACCTTTTATTCTGTTGGTAACCGCTTTACTTGGCTTGGTTGTAGCCTCGGGATATTTTAAAACAGTGAAGAAAGTCCCATTTATGCTCCCATCGCCTGTTTCCTGGGAGAGGGAAAGTTATTTATTGAGACTAAAGCGGTCAAGCCCTCTGGGAAGAATTGAGTCCTACAGCTAAAGAAAGAATAGCAGCCACAAAAGGAAATAAATCCTTTTAATATGATTTTAAGACTATTATTATTTATCTATTGAATGCTATCAAGGGTCAAAAAACAGGGCCATCCTGTGGTTGAAGCAGGTAGCCATTAAAAAACTTTTCAATGGCATTTTAAGGTTATTCTGTATTATTAAAACATTAATATTAATAGGGCATCATAGTCCTCCTTAACTAGGTTTAAGGCTTTTGAAGCAGATTTCTTCTTCCGTGCCTGCGTTGTAGCAAACGGGCCTCCCCTGCCCCTATTAATAAGGTGTTAATACTGTTAATAAAGCTAGAGAATACCGTAATCTTAAATTGCCATTAAAAAGGTTTATTTCTTTTGGTGGCCGCAATACCTGCTTTTGACCACAGGAGGGCACAGTTTTCCGTTCCATTGCATTAACGTTGAGGCCGTCGTAGGCCTTTTGCCCAGGATCGGGACACCGAGAAGCTAAGCTCCAAAGCGCAGAGCGTCCGCCAAAGCGTCGCCACTCTATGCTCCTCCGAAAGGGACAGGCCCCTTCCCTCGGTCTTCTGCGCATGTCCGTAGTACCGCACATACAGCACCGTATCTACGGCATCATAGTCCTTTTTAACTAGGTTCAAGGCTTTAGAAGCAGATTTCTTCTTCCGCGGCTGCGTTGCAGCAAACGGGCCTCCCCTGGCCCTAGTAATAAGGTGTTAATACCCTTAATAAAGATAGAGAATACCTTAATGTTAAAATGCCATTAAAAAGGCCATTATTTCCTTTGGTGGCCGCAATACCCGTTTTTGACCACAGGGGGGCAGGGTTTTCGGTCCCATAGCATTAACATTGAGGCCGTCGTAGGCCTTTTGCCCAGGATCGGGACACCGAGAAGCTAAGCCCCAAAGCGCAGAGCGTCCCCCAAAGGGTCGCCACTCTATGCTCCTCCGAAAGGAACGGGCCGCTTCTCGGCCTTCTGCGCATGTCCGCCGGCTGGTTCTTCACCAGTAATCGAGAGGACGGCATAGCATACTTCCTGTCCCTCGATATCGCCGTCCCCCATGGACCACTTCCGGTCCGTTCCTTATTCACCCTCCAACTTCCTTTTGCGGCGACCTTCTAGGCCGTAAACTGAAACCCCCATTAAAGAGGCTTCTGTCTCGGCGGCCATGCCGAGAAGGTCGCTCTGTTCCTCCTGCCTGAGGCTGCGCTCTGCTCCCTTTGCCCCTAAAGTAACAATCCTGGTCTTTCATCTCTTGAGAAAGGCTGACTTTTTTGCCCTCTTTGGGGCGAGGCGAGAGGAGGGCCTGAGGTCTGACCCATTTTGCAGTAAGAAAAGAGTTAGGTCGACGTAATGGCGCCTTCTGATGACTTTGTCCCCAAAATGACCGACACAGTTTGTGACTTTTTTGCCCTCTTTGAGGTAAGTATTATTTCCTTGGGTGGCTGCTATTCCAAATAACCACAGGAGGGCTCCCTTTGCATGCCCTGTGTTATATATGGTCTTTGTAGTCCCCTTCAGGCTATCACGCCCAAAATAACCACAGGAGGGCTCTCTTTCCATGCCCTGTGCTATAGATGGTCGTTGTAGTCCCTGTCAGGCTGCTATGCCCAAAATAATGACAGGAGGGTACTCTTTTCATGCCCTGTGCTATAGATGGTTTTTGTAGTCCCTTTCTGGCCACTATGCCTAAAATAACCACAGGAGGGCTCTCTTTGCATGCCCTGTGTTATATATGGTCTTTGTAGTCCCCTTCAGGCTGCCATGCCCAAAATAAGCACAGGAGGGCACAATTTGCATTTCCTGTGCTATAGATGGTCTTTGTAGCCCCTTTCTGGCCGCTATGCCCAAAATAACCACAGGGGGGCACTCTTTGCATGCCCTGTGTTATATTGTCTTTGTAGTCCCTGTCAGGCTGCTATACCCAAAATAACCACAGTTGGGCACTCTTTGCATGCCCTGTGCTAGATAGATGGTCTCTGTAGTCCCCTTCAAGCTATCACACCTAAAATAACCACAGGAGAGCTCTCTTTGCATGCCCTGTGCTATAGATGGTCTTTGTAGTCCCCTTCAGGCTGCTATGCCCAAAATAATGACAGGAGGGCACCCTTTTCATGCCCTGTGCTATAGATGGTTTTTGTAGTCCTGTCAGACTATGCCATGCCCAAAATAGCCCCAGTAGGGCACTCTTTTCATGCCCTGTACTATATAAATCGTCTTTGTAGTCCCTTTCTGGCCGCTATGTCTAAAATAACCACAGGGGGGCACTCTTTGCATGCCCTGTGTTATATATGGTCTATGTAGTCCCCTTCAGGCTATCACGCCTAAAATAACCACAGGAGGGCTCTCTTTGCATGCCCTGTGCTATAGATGGTCTTTGTAGTCCCCTTCAGGCTGCTATACCCAAAATAACCACAGTTGGGCACTCTTTGCATGCCCTGTGCTAGATAGATGGTCTCTGTAGTCCCCTTCAAGTTATCACACCTAAAATAACCACAGGAGGGCTCTCTTTGCACACACTATGCTAGAGATGGTCTTTGTAGTCCCCTTCAGGCTGCTATGACCAAAATAACCACAGGAGGGCTCTCTTTTCATGCCCTGTGCTATAGATGGTCTTTGTAGTCCCCTTCAGGCTGTTATACCCCCAATAACCACAGGAGGGCAAAAGCTGCAGCAAAGCAAAAGAGCTCTTGCGAAACTCAGCCAATCGGCTTCGGCCATGAGACCAGGCACCAAAAAAAAAAAAAAAAAAAACCACTTCCGGCTTCTCCTCCCGGAGCCTCGTGGCTGCAAAGGCCCGTTTTTGGTGGCGGTTTTGCTCGTCTAGCAGTGAGTCCCTTTTCTGAATTCGTAGGTTTTTATGAACCCTGGACAAACAGTGATTACGTGTGTATAGCTATTCGTGTTAAAATTAAGAATTAGGTCCCAACTTGAATAGCTGCCCCCTGCTTTGAATTAAGCAGCCAGTTGCATGTCCGCTTCCTTTAAACATGGCGACACGGTTAAAGCGCCTCTGATAGACTCGCGGGCTCCCTTTTTCTTCCAGGCACCCAGTGGAAAGGCTTTTTTTAAAATAAAATTAAAATAAAATAGACTCCTAGGGTTTTATTTTGCATTTGTTCTGATTTACTGTGCGCTTGAATAAGCGCACCTGCTTTTAATTAAACAGCCAGTTGCATTTAAACATGGCGACATTGTTAAAGAGCCAATGATGGACTCTGGGGCTCCCTTTTTTTCCAGGCACTCAGTGGAAAGGTTTTTTAAAATAAAATTAAATTAAATAAACTCCTAGGGTTTTCTTTGCATTTGTTCCAATTTACTGTGCGCTTGAATTACTGCACCTGCTTTTAATTAAACAGCCAGTTGCATTTAAACATGGACGCCGTCTTGAAGAGCCACTGATGGACTCTCTGGCTCCCTTTTATTTTCAGGCACCCGGTAGAAAGGTTTTTTTAAATAAAATAAAATAAAATCCTAGGGTTTTACTTTGCATTTGTTCCAATTTACTGTGCATTTGAATAACTGCCTCCTGCTTTTAATTAAACAGCCAGTTGCATGTCCGCTGCATGTAAACATGGAGAGATTATTGAAAAGCCACTGATGGACTCCGGGGCTCCCTTTTTTTCCAGGCATCCAGTTCAACTTCCGCTTCAGCTCCCACACCCTCATCATGGCCAACATCCCCAATGGGGCCAGCATCATGGACGACGACTTGACCGCTCCCCGAAGGTGAGAGCTGACCCTCACAGTGGTACTTTGATCTTAACCAGCAGAAGGAGCCCTGTGACACCACTCTCAGGGTTGCTAGACTACAATTCCCAGCAGCCTTAGCTAGACAATATTGTGGGACGCTGGGAGGCATTCCCCCAAGTTGGCTTTCCTCAGTTTAAACCAAGGGTCTTCAAACTTGGCCCTTTTATGACTTGCGGACTTGAACACCACCAGTCATAAAAGAGCCATGTTTGAAGACCCCTGGTCTGGAGCAACGTTCTTCAGTCTGGGCAATTTTAAGACATAAGGGCCAATTCCCAGAATTCCCCAGCTAGCTTGAATTTGAAGTGCAGACATCTTAACGTTGCCAAGGTTGGAAAGTTGCTCCAGAGGGTTTTGAACTGCTGGGAACCAGTCTGGTTGAAAAGCGCCCTGCTTAATTTCTTTTCCCTTTTCTCCCCTTGCTTCTCTCTGAACAGACACAGAGGCATTATCTACGCCTACGAATTCTCCACAGACAAGCTGGTGGCAGAGAGCGTCCTTCCTATCTGCTGCTCCTCTTACAACGATGTGGCCGGCTACAGCTACAACATTCCCCTTCCCCTATGACAACATCTAAGCAGGGTGGGAAGAAGGGAAATCCAGCTGAGCTGGACCCTGGAGAAGGAGAACCCCAAGGCTGGCGTTCCTGCAGACCTCTTTGGAGGGCTCGGAAGCCACGGGTTGGCCAAGCAGGCAGCAGAAAAAGAGTGGGTGAGCACATGGGGGTCTCCCCAAAGCTTTAATAACAGCGCTGTGGGAGCGAAGAAGAGATGGTGGGTAACAGGAACCATGATAGATAGGCTAGAATCGGGAGATGATAATAAAGGCTTTAGCCCAAGAATCAGGAGGTAGTAAGACAGGCTGTAGCCCACGTGTGCAGAGACCATTCTGGGGGACGGGAGGGCTTCCATTCCTTGCACCTAGCTGAAATAGTTCAGTGCTGCCTTTCCGAAACAGCCGCCGATGCTACCTGCAACATCTGGAGATCTTAAGAAGAAGAAGAGACTTTGCGAGTGTTTTTCTTGTAAATAAAATACCTTTATTAAGTGTTGGTCTCGGGATGAGGGGGTTGGTGTGCTTGAAAATGGCTGTTTCATTGTCAGGGGTGCTGGTTTTCGAAATCCCACATTAGGAGAAGATCAGAGGCCATCCCAGTTGGAGAAAATCCTGCCACAGGTAAGTCAAGCACGTGTGTAAGTATCCTTTCTTCTCCAGCTCCACTGGCACTTTGCCTGATTGCACCAGGACTGCTGAAGCAGCACCCCTCCTTAACCGTGCTGCCTGGGGCTGCTGGGAGTTGTAGTACATCTCTAACTTGGTGCAGCATGGGGATCTTTGCCTGATCCGTTCTCCATGCCAGTTTTTGCTGGCTTGGTCACAAGTCATCTTGTGGGGCCTCCCTGCTGGGTGGGCTAGGGCAGCTGCCAAGCCAGCAGGGAGAACACCACAGTTATTCCTCTCCTCGGCCGTTGCAGCATGGACTGAGGATGATGGGACTCGGACGGGCAAGGCCTCAGCACCCGAGACTTTGCAGCCCTTGTGCAATCAGGAGAAAAGTGACTGGTATATATGGGCAAAAGGGTACCTTCTGGGCAATTTTAAACGTCCTTGTTTTCCTCATGCCGATTGGGCTAATCCAGCAGTTTCCCCAAAGGAATCTTTCCAGAACAGGAAGATGGTTTTGGTATTCTGGAGGTATCCTGATGCCCCCATCAAGACACTTCCTTTTCTAGGAACTTCCTTCTGGAAAACTGTTGCCGTAGAGGCAAATTGTGACACGAAGGAGGGTCCCTGGATTGCCCATATATATATCTATCAGTGGAACTGCAGAAGAAAGATGCACACATGCAACTGGATGTATATTGTGTATAAACCAGGGCAGTGTTTTGCAAACTTGTCAGATATGGGGGACTTCAACTCCCAAGTAATTCTGGGAGTTGAAAGCCATCCATCTTAAAAGTGGCCAAGTTTGAAAAAGACTGCTCTAAGGTTACCAGATCTGGGCTGCAAAAACATGCTAGGCCACTAGATGATGCCAAATGTACTTTGCTGCCCTCTAGTGGCTTTTTTTTTCTTTTGCTGCCTAGAGCTGGTAACCTTAGTATGGTATACACCTTAATACAGTGTTTCTCAACCTTGACAATTTTAAGGCATGTGGACTTCAACTCCCAGAATTCCACAGCCAGCATGCCTTAAAATTGTCAAGGTTGAGAAACACTGCTTTAATATATGGTAATATGTAGATTATAAACATACCATATATTAGGGAATATGCCTATTACTGTATATGCCTGTGTACGTTAACACAGTTGCATACAGTCATCTAGGCTTAAGATCTATTGGGATTTTCCTAATAGATCTTAGCCTATATTGTTCTATGTGTCTGTGTATCTTAACACAGAAACAGAACAATAGATGACTATGCAACTATGTTAAAGTACTGTATGTGCCTGTGTACATTAACACAGTTGCATACAGTCATCTGGGCTTAAGATCTATTGGGTTATTCCTAATAGATCTTAGCCTATATTGTTCTATGTGTCTGTGTATCTTAGCACAGAAACAGAACAATAGATGACTATGCAACTATGTTAAAGTACTGTATGTGCCTGTGTACATTAACACAGTTGCATACAGTCATCTGGGCTTAAGATCTATTGGGGTTTTCCTAATAGATCTTACCTATATTGTTCTATGTGTCTGTGCATCTTAACACAGAACAATATAGGCTAAGATCTATTGGGACTTTTTTCCTAATAAATCTTAGCCTATATTGTTCTATGTGTCTCTGTTGAGATACACAGACACATAGAACAATATAGGCTAAGATCTATTAGGAAAACCCCAATAGATCTTAAGCCCAGATGACTGTATGCAACTGTGTCAAAGTACACAGGCGGGGGGGGGGGGGAGGAGGAGAGAGAGAACGAATGGACCGGACACTCTGTGACTTGACTTTATACGTGGATCAGTGTGTGGTGGGCGGTGCTTGTGTTTTGTTGGTTTTTTTTTTTTTTTTTTTTGAGCCGCCTCGCTTCTCATCCAAGAAGCTTCTTCAGTTCTGGCTGAATGGTGGGGGTGTGTGGAACGATTTATATTCTTTGCAGTCATCTGGTCGTTAGTACTCCAAGAGCCCTTGAAGCCACCTGGGGGTTCACCTGTACCCTCAGAGTCACCTGGACCAGTGTGGAGATGGGCCTGGGACCTTCTTGGAACTGCTGAAAAGACTGTTGGAGACAGGAGGTGTCGTATCCCTCCCCCTTTTGTTGAGAGAGGCCTGTTAACACAGATGGCCTCTTTGACCCCTCTTTCAAGCCAGGAGTCCTCTCCATCCAGAACGTGGACTTTGCTGTCTTCCAGAGTGGCCTTCGTCTCTCAAATGCAGATGGACCGCTGTTCCAAATGTGCTTTCCCAAGAGGCAACTGGACTTCGTTTTTCCTTGAAGATGTTTCACTTCTCATCCCTCAAGCTTCTTGGATGAGAAGTGAAAGTCTTCAAGAAAAAACAAAGTCTAGTGGCCTCTTGGGAAAGGACCTTTGGAGCAAACCATGATCTGGCTGGCTAACAATCTCCTCAGACACATGAAGTGCTGAATCTTGTCCTGATGGGTTTGTTCTATGTTGTGCCATGCATTTGTGAACAAAACTACTACTTCACAAGCGCATGGCACAACATAGGAGAACAAACCCATCAGGACAAGAGTCATACTTCAACAGTGAAGTATACAGAAAACCCATTGTTTACCTTCACTGGAGGAAAAACACGGAAGTCATCACAATCCTACACTACTGGGCTGAAGGTTTACCTACCATCAGAGGGAAAAGGACTAAAACACATCAAAGAAGCCCTCAGAACCTATGGCTATCCCAAGTGGGCCTTCATCAAATACAAAGTTCCAGTAGGATCCTTTGTCCCCCCCCCTTACCCCCAATAAGGAGAAAAAAAACAACAAAAGAACCAACATCAATCCATAAAATGCAGGAATTATCTGAAAAGCTCAGGATTTTCAACTAACTCAATGTACGTGCACACTACCAACCCCAAAATACACTAAAGCAATGTTTCTCAAAACCTTGACAACTTTTAAGATGTGTGGACTTCAGCTCCCAGAATTCCTCAGCCAGCATGCTCACTCAGGAATTCTGGGGGCTGAAGTTCACACATCTTAAAAAGTTGCCAAGATTGAGAAGGCAATGTTTCTCAAAACCTTGACAACTTTTCAGATGTGTGGACTTCGGCTCCCAGAATTCCTCAGCCAGAATGCTCACTCAGGAATTCTGGGAGCTGAAGTTTACACATCTCAAAAAGTTGCCAAGATTGAGAAGGCAATGTTTCTCAAAACCTTGACAACTTTTTAAGATGTGTGGACTTCGGCTCCCAGAATTCCTCAGCCAGAATGCTCACTCAGGAATTCTGGGAGCTGAAGTTCACACATCTTAAAAAGTTGCCAAGATTGAGAAACTCTGCACTAAGGCAGAAGCTTGTCCACCACAAGGATAAAACACTCACACACAAACTGAGCAATGCAATATGTGCAGTAGAATGTGGTGAGACATGTACAGATCTCTACATTGGAGAAACAAAACAAACCACAATTGCATAGCACAACCTAGGAGAACAAGCCCACCAGGATGAGGTTTAGCGGTCCATCTGCATTTGAAAGACAAAGGCCGCTCTTTCAACGACAGCAAAATCCACGTTCTGGATAGAGCACCGCTGGTTTGAAAGAGGGGTCAAAGAGGCCATCTGTGTTAAAACCAAAGGCCTCTCTCAACAAAGGGGGGAGGGATATGACACCACTTACCTTCTGTCTCCAACATGGTCCTTGCAGCAGTCCCAAGAAGGTCCCAGGCCCACCGCTACACGGGTCCAGGTGACCCCGAGGATACAGATAAACCCCCGAGAGGCCTCAATGACTCTCGGAGAGCTAACAACTTACCTTTGGGGTACTAAGGACCAGATGACTGCAAAGAATATAAATCCTTCCACTCCCCACCATTCAGCCAGAACTGAAGAAGCTTCTTGGATGAGAAGCGAAACGTTGGGGCATGTATATATACATATATGCACATGCAGAGACTTGTTGGCATAATTGGTTTATTCTGGGAATAGACGAATTATGTCTCTCTGTGTTCATATATATACATACACATATATGTGCATATTAGCATATTTTTAGTAAATACAACTATCTGTACGAAATGCTAATATGTACATAGAAGAATGCCTATATATATTACTACCTAAAAGCTGGTATAGGTAGTCCTTGAGTTAAAACAGTTCATTTAGTGACTATTTGAAGGTACAACAGCACTGAAGGAAGTAACTTACAATGTCAACATCCTCGTGGCATGTGATTAAGTTCAGAAGCTTTACAACTGACTCATACTTATGACGGCTAGTGTTCTGGGCTCAGGTGATCGCATTTTGTGACCTGACAAGCGAAGTCAATGGGGAAGCGACATTCGCTTAAGAACCATGTTGCTAACTCAACATTTGCAGTTAACAAATGTAGCAAGGAAAGTCATTAAATTGGGCAAAACCCACTTAACAAAATGCCTTGCTTAGCAACAGAAGCTCTGGACTCAAATGTGGCCGTTAAGTCAAGGACTACCTGTAATATATATACCATTCGCCCCGAAAGCTAGCTTACCATGGGCACCCCCTTACAATGGCACCCCCCTATAACATGGGGGGGTTCCTTTTGGTGTTTGGGGGTTTGTAACAGCCCAGGAAGCTAGAAATAAAACACACAACAACTGCACAAATATATCAAACACTACAACACTGCATCAAAGCGGAGGTCCTTTTACTGGACACTGGAAGGTTGGTCTTCAACTCAAGACAGGAATCCGTGTGGCTGGTCCAGATGAGTCTGAACTTCGTGGATCCGTGGCAGTTGCTCCAAGAGACACGTGGCCCTCCCACCCACCCAAACAAGCTCAGCCATCTCACACCGCCGCCATCAGGAAGCAGATGGGCATCATGGTCTGTCGATTCCTTCCTATATCTGGGGTCGGAAGGAAAGAAAAAAACAGAATTAGAGGAGAAGACAATTTCTGATCTTGCAAATCTTCAGTCGTACTTCAGAAAGGAGCAAATGTTACATTCCAGAATGCTGACTCACAGTTGACTTGGCCTTAGGTTTTTCCCAAAGAATAGCTGGTGGGAGATTCACCCCAAAGGGGATGCATGGACCTTTGCTTGGTCCTGCGTGAGGGGGCTTCCTCTTGTGAACCTTTTGCCCACCTCCCTTAAGGAGGACTCTTTTCTGCTTTCCTTGGGCCAGTTAACCTAACCCTACCACCCTTGTAAAGTTCATGACACCTTTCTCCAATTTCAAGCTGAGCTGAAACAGACCCCTAAGCAAACAGGCACCAGGGTTGTCTACCCCTACAGAGCTGAAAATAGTTGGGATTCCCATCCTCCCTTCTGGCTCCTGTGCTTGAGAAGCCACAAGGGCAGTCCTGGGAAGACAAACACATGGCTGCAACTCTTCTGTGGTTTGCACAATTAATGAATATAGATTAGGTATGAATGTCTGCAATGAATCATCACTTCCGTTTATGGATATAGACGTTCTGTAAGTATATATCCTGCATGTATTCATTTCTTTTTTTAGCTTGTCCCTTTAGAATTTGGTGCTTTCTTTCTTTGTATTTATTAATTAGAAAAAGGGAAAAAGAGGCTGTATTTTTTTCCCTTTACATAAGACTCTAGAGGGCACTTGAAAGGTGGGAAAAAAGTCACAAAAAAGTCAAAGCCTGCCTGTTTTTTACATGGGTTGCATGAAGGATTGTGTTGTTAACTTTTATTAATAAAGTTGCTAATATTTCTGCAAAAGTCTTTTTTATGCCATTTGTCCTGTACATTTATAGTCAGCGTGACACAACATAAGGAAAAAGAGGCAAGGATGGAGAAGGAAAACTTAACACACTGGATAATCTACTAGTCTCTTAAATTATTCAACCAGTGAGATATCACACAACCAGTATTTTTACTAGAGTTGGTATATCATTTTAGCAGCAGTTATGTTACAAAAAGTGTTTTTTTTTCTATTTATGATACGTATAGTACCCCCACCTCTCTCCGTGGATTACAAGAAAAAAAAGATATATTGCAGGGAGGGAGAGAGAGAGAGGAAACAGAGAAGAGATATAGAGAGATGGATAGACAAATGGATAAGATAATGAAATACAGATGAGCTAAAGAAATATAAACTGACAATGACAATATAGACAAGAGAGATACAGAGATGAAAGAGAGAAAAGGTGGATAAAGATATAGATGAAATAAGAGATGGATGGATGGATAGATGATAGAACGAATACAAAGAACAAAACAGTAGCAGGTTCAGCATGTTGCTGGTTCGCCTCGCCTGGTCGAACTGAGGAGAAAACCCTAGGAGTTTATTTTATTTTATTTTTAAAACTTTCCACCGGGTGCCTGAAAAAAAAAGGGAGCCACAGACTCCTTCAGTGGCTCTTCAAGACGGTCTCCCTGTTTGAATGCAACTGGCTGCTTAATTAAAAGCAGGTGCACTTATTCAAGGGCACAGTAAATCGGAACAAATGCAAAGTAAAACCCTAGGAGTTGATTTTATTTTATTTTATTAAAAACCTTTCTACTGGGTGCCTGAAAATAAAAAGGAGCTACAGTGTAGTCCTTCAGCGGCTCTTCAAGACGGCCTCCATATTTAAATGCAACTGGCTGTTTAATTAAAAGCAGGTGCAGTAATTCAAGTGCACAGTACATTGGAACAAATGCAAAGTAAAACCCTAGGAGTTCATTTTGTTTTATTTTATTTTATTAAAAACCTTTCTACTGGGTGTCTGAAAATAAAAAGGAGCCACGGAGGCCTTCGGCGGCTCTTCAAGACGGTCTCCATATTTAAATGCAACTGGCTGCTTAATTAAAAGCAGGTGCGCTTATTCAAGTGCACAGTAAATCGGAACAAATGCAAAGTAAAACCCTAGGAGTTTATTTTTGTTTTATTTTATTTTATTAAAAACCTTTCCACTGGGTGCCTGGAAGAAAAAGGGAGCCCGCGAGTCTATCAGCGGCGTTTTAACCGTGTCGCCATGTTTCAAGGCGGCGGACATGCAACTGGCTGCTTAATTCAAAGCAGGTGCAGTTATTCAACTGGGAATTAATTCTTAATTTTAACACGAATAGCTATAAACAGGTAATCACTCCCTCCCCAGGTACGAGCGTTTGTTTAGCCAGTGTTCCCAAAAACCAACTTAATTCAGAAAAGGGACTTACGGTTAGACGAGCAAAACCGCCACCAAAAACGGGTCTCTGCAGCCACGAGGCTCGGAGAGAAGCCGGAAGTGGTTTTTTTTTTTTTGCTCGGAGAGAAGCCGGAAGTGGCTTTTTTGCCTGGTCACGTGGTCGAAGCCGATTGGCTGAGTTTTGCAAGCTCTGCTTTGCTTTTGCTTTGCGGAAGACCTGCTGCTTGCTGGGTTTGAGGACTAGAAACCTGGAATGACTTCTGTAAGTATTTTAAATTATTATTATTATTATTTTGTTACTGCATGGTACTGTACTTCCGTCGTCTGCAATCCCTTCGGGAACTGCTCTGCTTCCTCTTGGGCTGGTTAAAGGCAGCACTTCGCAAGATGGTTTGTTTGCATCAGCCTGACATTGGTAGCTTGTGGCTGCCGCCGCCTCCTCCTCTCCCTGGCACAGACCCAGCAGAGATTCTGCTGACCCCAGAGATTGTGCAGGGGTCTTCCAGCCTGGCCCTTGGATGACTGGTGGACTTCAACTCCCAGAATTCCTCATCCAGGCATGCTGGCTGAGGAATTCTGGGAGTTGGAAGTCCACCAGTCATCCGAGGGCCACGTTGGAAGATCCCCGCCTTACTGGAAGGAAATCCCCCACCCCATTTTGGATTTTGCCTGGAGAGGCTTCTGCTGATCAGGGGCAGTGGGTTGTTTTTTTTAAAAAAAGGTTTTACATTTAAATTGCCTCCAGAAGTTGTGGGTGTTCCCTCCCTGGAGACTTTTAAGAAGAGACTGGATAGGCATTTATCAGACCTACAGTACAGAACTCACTCTCTTGAGAGTAGTGGGTTAGACTAGATGACCTCAAGGTCCCTTCCATCTCAGTTACTGTTGCAAGCTGGCAATTCTGTAAACTCTACCCCATCTCCCTCTGCATGCCTTAATGGAGACTCTTAAGATAGTGGCCAGCAAGTGTTGTTTTCTTTAAAAAAAAAAAAAGGTTTTAAATTTAAATTGCCTCCAGAAGTTGTGGGTGTTGAGAGGGACAATGAGAGGGAGGGAGGGAAGGAAGGAAGGATCAAGAAAAAGAACAGAGGGAAGGTAGGTAGGAAGGAAGGAAGAAAGGAAGAAAGGGACAATGGGAGGGAGAAAGGGAGGGAAGGCACCCACCCCAGTTCCTGCCCCCTCCACCAAAGACCCACAATCCCCCCATCCCTGCCTGCATCTCCCACAGACCCCCCCCCCACAATCTGAGTGACGAGCTGGTCACGCCCCCCCATTGTCAAAAAGTTGCAAAAGGTGATCACGTGACCCTGGGACAGTGACCGTCGTAAGTATGAATCAGTTGCCAAGCATCCGAATGTAAATCACAGGGCCCTGGGGATGCTACAACAGTTGTAAGTGTGAAACATGGTCGTAAGTCACTCTTTCCAGTGCCGTTGTAACTTCGAACAGTCCCTAAGCAAATCGTCGTAAGTCGAGGACTGCTTGTACTTTATCGTTTTTTCCCCTTTTTTTATTTTTGGCCATCAAGTTTTTGACACCTGGCTAGGCCACCAGTGGGAGTCGGATATTGCCTTACCCTCAAAGTGGTACAATGGGTGAAAAGGTTGACAGGCCCTGCCCTGTGCTATAGATGGTCTTTGTAGTCCCCTTCAGGGTGCTCTGCCCAAAATAACCACAGGAGGGCACTCTTTTCATGCCCTGTGCTCTAGAATTCTGTTTCTCAACTTCGATAATTTTAAGGCATGTGGACTTCAACTCCCAGAATTCCACAGCCAGCATTGCTGGCTGTGGAATTCTGGGAGTTGAAGTCCACATGCCTTAAAATCGTCAAGGTTGAGAAACACTGCAAGTATAGATGGTCTTTGTAGTCACTTTAAGGCCACTATGCCCAAAATAACCACAGGAGGGCGCGCTTTGCATGCCCTGTGCCGTACAGATGGTCTTAGAAGCCCCTTTCGGGCTGCTGTGCTCAAAAGAACCACAGGAGGGCACTCTTTTCATGCCCTGTGCTATGGAGGGTCTTTGCAGTCCCTTTGGGGGGCTAAGCCCATCCTGCCCAGGGCTTCTCCTTTTTGACACATTTGGTTTTGTGAACGGAAGCTGGAGGGTACGCTGCCCCTGACGCAGGAGGCTCCCTTCATGCTCCAACAAACAGCCACGGCCCTACTGGAGGCCTTGCCTCAATCGGTTCCCAAAGGAGCGCCATCTGACTCCTATCAACGGCTCCCAGGAACGTTTGCTTCACTCTTATCCGTGCTTCCCCGGCCAATTTTTCATCTTTTCGTGGTAATTATGCCTTGGGCTCTCAGCTCCTTTCCACTCGGTGTCCACTGAACCTTGTGGGGGACTTTGTTCCGGGATGGCCTTCCCTCCTTCCTGCAGGGGATCAGCCTGGTCTCCAAAGTAGGGAGGGAAACGAACCAAGGAGAGAAGCAGCCTAGAACTGAGGAGGAATTTCCTGACCGGGAGGACGAGTCACTGGAGGTTTTAAAGAAGAGATTGGGCAGCCATTTGTCTGAAACAACGTAGAAAAGTTTCCTGCTCGAGCAGGGGGTTGGACTAGATGACCTCCAAGGTCCCTTCCAACCCGGCTACTACTGTTAACTAGCTCCCTCACTGAGAGCCCCTCGTTGTGAGACTCAAGTAATTGCGTGTTAAGGAAGAAATGCTACCAGCCCGTAGAGGAAGGCTTGTGCAGACGTGTTGTATTTTTTTGGCCAGCAAACATTCACGACTTCACGTTGAAGGACACACCCGTTCTCTCACACACACACACACACACACAAACACACATGCGCACACCCATCCCTCTCTCCATCAGGGCTTCTTCGGCCCTGAAAGATCCCTTTTCCATTTGCCTTCCTGACACCCAGTCTGGTGCTGCTGCACAACTCTCCTGTGGGCTGAGCGCCCCCCCCCATGGCAGGAGGGCGGAGCCAGACCCAGACCCCGCCTTTTAAAGTGCAAGAATATTGCTTTCCCGTGGGACGGAAGGAAACATGCTCTTTTGGGAAGATTGCTCCTCTTTTTGACACTTGGAGAAAGCTAGGAAGGAAAAGCTGTTATTCCGCATCTCCCAGCCCAAGTCTCTGTAGTCTGGATCGTCTTCTCTCCGGCCCGCTACACACTCTCCCAACCGAAGCGGAATTCGAACCCAAAGGAGGGAAGGGCAGGATAGCGGGGTTTTGGGGGGGGGGGCAAAGCCAGAGCCGGCCCTCAAACGAAAATCGGGATCCTCTCACGGATGGCCTGTCGGCAGATGGGACAGACGTTCAGGGATACGCCGCACTCTTGGCAGGAGCCGTGTCCGCACTGGTAGATCACTTTGATCTGGCTGTCGATGCAAATGGGGCAGGTGATCCGTTCCTCCATCTGCCGATAGCGGCTCTGCAAATCCTCCATGAGCTTCTGTTGGTTGGTGACCTCGGGGCCCGACCCACCGTCCACTTCAGAGTTGTCTGTGGCGGGGGGGGGGGGAAGGGTAGGGGTGAGATGGGGAAGGCGGTGTGAGAAAGGAGACACGGACACACACACACACACACACACACCCTTTCTAAGCATCTTTTCGTTCCATGTGCATTTCCCAGCTGGCGGGAAAATCCTGCTAAAATGTGAAATGTGTGGCTTGTGGCTAAGGGCAAAAGTGCAGAAAATCATCTGGGGGGGGGAGAGAGACAAGCATCTAATCCCCCCTGATTTATTTTATTTATACATCCTGACTTTGGGGGGGAGCTTTTTTGGCCTTAACTGTGGTTTATCTCTCGTTTGTTTCTGGACTGTCTATTCTGGGAAACAAATGTCTGGTCTGAAGCAACACTTAGACCAGTGGTTCTCAACCTTTTTAATGCCGCGACCCCCCAACCGGTCGTAAGTCGAGGACTACTCAACTGGGGCAGCACCGTTTGCAGAATGGGACTTTTGGTGGGCTCAGCAGGGCAGAGACAGCCTGGACAATTCCTATGGGCTTTTGAAAGCCAATCGAATTAGACTCTATTCAAGAGCGTCTATTCTATTGGCTTTCAAAAGCCAATAGAATAAAAGGGAGTAGCACAGCTAAGGAAAAGGGGGAAAAAAATGGCAGACTGCGTTGTTTGGCGACCCCCCGTGAAATGGTCGTTCGACCCCAAATGGGGTCCTGACCCACAGGTTAAGAACCACTGACTTAGACTCACATGCCAGTCCAAGCAACAGCTGGCTTGTTTGCCTGACATCGTTTGCAAACTGCATGTACAACCTGACTAACGCGAACCTAAACGAAATGCAAGGGTAGCATTTGTGCGACAAAAAAAAAAAAAACGGGTTCGGGAAACATGCAAACAAGCAATTGTGGCTTTTGTAAAAAAAGAAAAGCTAGCTGTGCCCTGACGCTTCCAACTGACAACAAAGGCAACCCACAAGGAAAACCAGTGGAGGAGGGGGGGCAGAGGAAAAGGAAGGGGGCTGAATGCTGATTGTGACCATGGGATGTTCCCAACGCAGCCTCTACTCCACGCGGGTTGGCTGAAAGCAAAGGGGAGACACGCCTGCCCAGCTACTCAAGCCATCATGCTCACCTTGTTTTAATTTTTTGGTAATCGTGACTTGGCATTTGATGCACTTCTTCATCCTTCTGGAGCATTCTATTTACAGGGAGAAATTGGGAGAGGGAAAAGGTGGGAAGAGAGAGATTAGCTTGATGCAAGCTCCCCACAAACTCTCATTCCTTGCTTTAGAGGAAAAACACAAAACCAACCACCAGGAGAAGTCAGAGACAGATGCTTCAGCTACGGGATACGGAAGACGGGGCCAAGGGCAGAAGTACCTTCGCACACGATGCTGTGTTGACAGGGGAAGAAAAGGACCAGCAGCGCCAGTTCCGAGCAAACCAGGCACTCCGAGGGGGCCGCCACTTTTGGCACGCTGAGGTTCGTCATGGTGTTGGGGGTGGTGTGGACTCTCCTCAGGCTGCTGGTCGTGGTGGAGCTGTCCGACGAGGACTCCTGCTCCTCTCTGCAGAAAGAGTCGGCCGCGTAAGGTGAGAGGGCAGCGTGGCCTCCTCGGGGCTGGCTGCCCACCAGCAGAATCAAACCCCTTTGGGCAGCTCAGCCCCACTTCCTTCAGGAGAAGGGTGCAACGACCACTCGGGGCGCCCAATTTTGAAACGGAGCCTTGCCGAGGGATCCGGAAGTGGTGCAACCGCGGAGACTGCACCAATTATCTCAAATCTTTGCAGGAAATTGTCAAAGCTGATTCGGATTCTACCCCTGCCTGCAAATGTCCTTGCAGCTTGACCGCAGAAACAGAAGGGGGCGGGAGTGAAATCCTTGTGGGGGGGAAGAGCTGAGAGGGGCCGAGGAATCAAGGGAGCTGGCTGGGCCCCGTGAAAGTTCCTTCCCTTTGGAACCGTGCTATGGGAACTCTTCGAGCAGCACAAACTGTTTTCCAAAAGGCAAAGGAAGTCTTGGATTGGTGGACAATGGGCAGCGGCTGGCCTAAAGAGGAAATTTACCTAGGCCAGGGGTAGGCAACCTTGCTTCTTTTATGACTCATGGACTTCAACTCCCAGAATTCCTCAGCCAGCTTCCATTTTGTTTGTTAGATTTAAGACAGGGGTCTTCAAACTTGGCTCTTTTATGACTCATGGACTTCAGCTCCCAGAATTCCTGAGCCAGCCATGCTGAGGGGAAAGGGAGAGGTTTCCAAGCTGAGCCATGCCGGCTCAGGAATTCTGGGAGTTGAAGTCCACGAGTCATGAGGGGGCCATAGTTTCCCCCTGCTGGCTCAGGAATTCTGGGAGTTGAAGTCCACAAGTCATGAAGGAGCCATAGTTCCCCCATGTGGCTGAGGAATTCTGGGAGTTGAAGTCCACAAGTCATGAAGGGGCCATGGTTCCCCCCTGCTGGCTCAGGAATTCTGGGAGTTGAAGTCCACGAGTCATAAAAGAGCCAAGGCTGCTTACCCCTGACCTACAGGAACATATGAAAGCATAATTAATGTTAATTAATGTAGACTTTATTAGTTTAGAGCAGGGGTAGGCATAATCTAGACTTTATTAGTTTATAGGCAACCTTGGCTCTTTTATGACTGGTGGACTTCAACTCCCAGAATTCCTGAGCCAGCCACGCTGAGGGGAAAGGGAGAGGTTTCCAAGCTGAGCCAGGCTGGCTCAGGAATTCTGGGAGTTGAAGTCCACCAGTCATAAAAGAGCCAAGGTTGCCTACCCCTGGCCTAGGCTGCTGTCTGCGGGAACCTTTAAAATGGGCTTCGCTTCGTCTGCACCTGTATGGATCTGTCAGTAAAATTATGCGCTCTCGGTAAACTTACACGCCAGGTGTGTCTTTTTCTGCCTATGCTCCGCAAATATTACAGCCGGACCATTTCTGGGCTCGGAATGGACACCTTATTTCCAGCCACAAAGAACATTCCAAGCCAGGGGAGGGGGGGGGTCTTCCTGGCAGTTGCAAGGAGGACGGGGTCAAGAGCAGGAGACGCTGGGACTGACCCCCACCTGTATTTCTGGGAGAAGGTCTGGATGAGGTGCGCGATGCTCCCGTCCGAGACGAGGTCAAGCGGAGACTTGCCCCGGTGATTGGCATAGTGGACGTCGGCCCCTTGCTGGGCCAGGTAGCAGGCCAGGGCGGTTCCCACGTTCAGTTGGGTGTTGCCGAGAAAGCCGGAGGCCTGGAGCTGCGGGAAGAGGGAGACCAGAAGAAGAAGGGGGGAATAAGAGAATTTGGGGCGGGAGAGCCATGAAGGGGAAAGGAGCTGCTAAAAGGGAGACTCGGAGAAATGAGTAAAGCCTAGAGGCAGAAGGAATAAATTCAGAATAACCCTGCCTCAGTTTCACTTCCTGAGCCAGCCTACCTGATAGGGCTGTGTGTTATGGAGAAGCGGATATTTGGCTAAAACTTTGATTTGTTGTTGTTAATTGTGAAGTCGTGTCCGACCCATCGCGACCTCATGGACAACGTTCCTCCAGGTGTTCCTGTCCTCTACCATCTTCTGGAGTCCATTTAAGTTCACACCTCCTGCTTCAGGGACTCCATCCAGCCACCTCGTTCTCTGTCGTCCCCTTCTTCTCTTGCCCTCCATCTTTCCCAGCATTAGGCCCTTCTCCAGTGAGTCCTTCCTTCTCATTAGGTGGCCAAAGTATTTGAGTTTCAACTTTAGGATCTGGCCTTCTAAAGAGCAGTCGGGGTTGATCTCTTCTAGGACTGACCGGTTTGAACGCCTTGCAGTCCAGGGGACTCACAGGAATCTTCTCCAGCACCAGAGTTCAAAGGCCTCCATTCTTTGGTGCTCAGCCTTTCTTATGGTCCAACTTTCACACCCATACATTGCAACTGGGAAAACCGTGGCCTGGACTATACGCACTTTTGTTGGCAGGGTGATGTCTCTGCTTTTTAGTATGCTATCTAGATTTGCCATATCTTTCCTCCCCAGGAGCAAGCGTCTTTTAATTTCTTGGCTGCAGTCCCCATCTGAGGTGATCTTGGAGCCCAGGAAGATAAAATCTGTCACTACCTCCATTTCTTCCCCATCTATTTGCCAGGAAAGTGGCACTAAAAGCTTTACACAGGCCCTCCCTCACCTTGGAGAAGAGGCTGTCCTCCCGGCCCGGCTGCTCGTCGACCAGGACGGACACCAGGTGCTCCCTCTCCAGGATGATGTGCATGGCGGTGTCGCCGTCCTCGTCTTCGGAGTTGACGTCGGCGCCTTCGCTCACCAGCAGCTGCACCATCTCCAGGTGGCCCTGGGTGACGGCCAGGTGCAGGGGCGCCTGGTTGCGGTTGTTCCTGAGGTTGACGTCGCAGCGGCCCTGGGGGAGGACGGGAGGATCGGCCACCTTCAGCTCCACAAAGCGGCACCTTGAATCTGGGCAGATTATTTTCCCTGAAAGGGTGGCAGGCAGCTGACCCTCTTCTACGGTGGGACGGGCTAGAATGGGCTTTTAGGATGGGCTTTTAGGACGGGCACTCCTCGACTCATCTGAAATTACTGTGGTGTCGAAGAGACTGACGACCGCTGCCCACAGTTACAGCCCCACCCCATCCCTGCGATCGTGGGGTCAAAGTTCACGCACTTGGCACTCTGTCCAAGCTTACAACTGATCGCTTATCCACCACCACCACTTACGAACAAAATTCCGGGCTCGATTGTGGTCATAGGTCAAGGACTTCCTATTTTCTTGGTTTTTTTTTTTTTTCCCCCAGGAAGATGGGAGAACTTTCCTCCACTGATAAAAAGATTAGCTGAGCCGAAAAGCATCGATCTCGCCTCGCTGGCAATTTTGCCTCAAGAGGGAGTTGGGGGGTGTACGTTTCAGAAAGCTCCTCACCCTTCCTTTCGAACCTAAGCAGAGCAGGCCTGGTTGGGAGGCCACTAGGAGATCCCAGGCTTCTGAACAGCCCTTATAAATAGCATCCTCAGCCGGCTGGGCAGACGTCTTCCCCAAACACAGACAGTCCTCTCCAGGGCCCCCATCACCCCAACAAGTTCTCCCCCCATTTTACCTCTTTGATTAAAATCTCGGCCACCTCCTTGTGATTGTTGAGGGCAGCCAGATGCAGAGCCGTGAACCCGTCGTCCTTTTTGGCGTCCACCAGCTGCCGAGCCCTTGCGAGGATCTTCTTGATCGCTCTGGCCGGGGTGGGGGTGAGGAAGAGGACAGCAAAGGAAAAAAAAGAAAGAAAGAGAAGAAAAGAAGAAAATGTGCATTTAGGGTACAGATTACAGATATACATTTTGGGGGTCCCTCCTGGCATTTAAAAAGGTGTATCTGGGGGTAGGAAACCCACCTAAACCTACAATGTAGGTTTTTTTTGGGGGGGGGGGGTTTAAAAATCAGCTCAGACATCCCTGGAAGTGATTTTGGCATCTGCTTCAGCAATTCTGTAGGATCGGCCCCGCCCTGTCTCTCCCCAAAATCATTAAATGATGCTGCCAGATGTGAAAAGATTACAGGATCCAATCGGAGTCGATCACCGAGGACCGGAGGGGTAATCTTCCGAGCTTTCGGATTCGTGCTGGTGCCCACCATCCTCAGGGAACTTCTGTCTCTCTCTCTCTCCACGTTCTGGTGAGAGGCAAGTTCCCTGAGGATGATGGGGCTCCGGCAGGAATCCAAAAGCTCGCAAGACGACCCCTCCGGTCCCTCTAACCGACTCAGACCGGATCCCGCAACATTATCCTGGGACACACAGGTACATTCGCCTCCATTAGGGCCAAAAGATCGCTTGCCTCCCCTTTAAAAGACGCATGGAACTTTATTCGGACGGTGACCTCTGGAAGAAGCAGCACATTCCCCAAGCCAAACCCCCCCCCCCTTTGGCCCTTCTATGCTCTTTGCATAATTCTCTTGGCAGGCCAAGTGACCTCTTCTCTGCCCTTTCAGGGGTTTGATGTGTTCGCCGGCATTTGTGTGTCAGACAAGTTTTCCCGGGGACCTCAAAGCCTGCCTGCGCTAAGGTCCTGGAAGTCAGCTCCGATTAGATCAGCCTTTGCTTACAGCTTGTTTCCTTTTAGGGCTGCGTGGTGCAACAGGTTGAACCCTTGTTGATTCTGGATGGTAAAATCGATGCCAGGGACCTCAGTGAGGGCTTCGATGATGCATTTGAAGTCGGCATTGATGGCGTAGTGAAGGGGGGTCTCTCCCGAAGAACCCTGAAGGGACAGCGAAGGTGTTGACACAGCCAAACAGTGACTGCTCAATGTAGATTAAAAAAAAAAGGCAAGCTTCCACTCAAACTGAACCCAAAAGCTAAAAAATAAAAAAAAATTGGGGGAGGGATGGGAGACCACTCAGAGAGGCTCCAGGGCTTCGGAGCTGCGATCCCCAAAGAGAGAGAGAGAGAGAGAGAGAGAGAGAGAGAGAGAGAGAGAGAGACAGACTCACCGGCAAATTCACATCACAGTTGTTTTCGCACAAGGCTTTCACGACCTCGGTGAAGCCGTTGTTGACCGCGACGTACAAGGCCGTGCACCTGGCGGTGTTCAGAAGATTCGGGTTGGCGCCTTTGCTGACCAGGAGCCGGGCGACGTCCGCTTGATTCCTGGGTTGCAGACAAGCGTTAAGCAGCAACAAACTAGGAATAAAATCCTTCTCCTGCTACGCTCATTTCTTTGGGTTTTTTTAAAGGCTAGAAATGGGGAAGAATGGCTAAAGCCGTCTTCATCATCTTCCTCCCGCTTCGCCACCGCCCCAACTCCGTTGAGTGAGAAATAGGGGGCCCCGAAGGGCAGCCACTTTGGACCCCCCCCCTTCAGCTGTTATCTAGCAGGCAACCGTCCCATCATGTTCCTGGAGGAGTCTCCATCCTAACTGGCTAAGGTCAGAAGTATAACCCTGGCTTTTTTTGGACATCGGCTTTTTTTTCTCCTCATCCCTCCCCATCCCTTCTTCCTTGTATGACGTGCCTTCTGAATCGAAACCAAGGGGAGCATTTATTCGTTTGTATGTTTTATTTGGGAGCCTGGCTTTTAAAGAGCAGCTATTTCTTTTGGAAGGAAGTCTTTCCCATACCCCTTCTCACAGTCATGCCCCCTGCAAGGGAAGCCCTACCCCATAGCGCTCAGCAAGGACCACTTACCCGTAGGCTGCATAATGAAGGGCCGTGTCGCCTTCTTCATCCCACAGGTCGACATTTGCGTGCGCTTGCAGCAGGAGCTTCGCCACTTCCATCTGCCCCACGTACGACGCCACCTGCAAGGCGGTCCTGCCCTGGTTCTGCACATCCACCTGGGGAAGAAATTTAGCATCCGTTACAGGATTGGCCAGCTGACACACTCAAGGCCAACTCCGGCTTGTTTTGACAGGACAGCTGCCATTGGCTCCCCTCCATCCAGCTAATTCTGGATTCAATGCGTTATTATTCAATCTCAAATGTATTTATTATTCCTGGCTCGGGACGTTTTGGATCTGGGCTGCGTCAGAGCCACACCGAACCAGGACAATTTGTGGCAGAGACTAAAAAAAAGGCATGCAATCTATTTTTCTTTATTTATATTTATCCCACTTTTGTTATTTTTATAAATGAATCAAGCAGCAAGCATAACTAATACTCCTTCTCCTATTTTCCACCTTTGAGGTGGGGGTTGGGGCTGAGAGGAAGTGACTGGCCCAAATTCACCCTGTCATCTTTCATGCCAATGGGGGGCACTAGAACTCACAGATACCTGGTGATTGGCCAGTCAGCTTCCATGCGTAAAGCAGGACTAGAACTCAACCGTCTCGTGGTTTCTATCCTGGTACTTTAACCAGTGGATCAAGAACGCGAAAGAGGTGATTAATTTAGTGGTTCTTAAATGTTTGACCCCCTTTTCCTGGGTTCAAATAATGCCCTTATCCCAGCAAAAAAAGAAAACTTGGTGCTTTTACGTAAGATCTTAGCAACGGGAGTCCCAGTCTGGATTCACAAAAAAGCAGTATCTGTGCTTTCCCTCCTCATCTCCAGTTTAAGAACCACTGGTTTAAAAGTATTTCCACATGGTTCCTCTTACATGGATTTCTCTCTCCAGAGAGACTAGTCTGCCTCCTGCACAGAGATCATTTTTAAATAAGCTTCGACAACATTTTGGCTTGCTCTTGGGGTAGGCCAGCGCAGGCGAGGGGGTGTCGTTTTCCCAATTCATCTGGACCTGACCCAGAGAACAAGGCTACTTGCCTTGTCGGGATATTTCTGAATCAAGTCCCGAACTTTGCCGACGTTTCCGTGAGCTGCCTCAACCACCAGACGGCCCGGGCTGTCGGCCTCCATTTTTTGGGAGAGTAAGCGTCCCACCACGGAAACCAAGGAACCTATGAAAAGGGACCAAAAAAAAAAATAATACAAATATCACCAGCCAGTTGAGAAGGCCAGCCTAACCTCTTCATCATTTCCTGGGCAATTTTGATCGAAAAGCTTTTGAAAATGTTCGGGGCTGCCCCTCAGCTAATTTCCGATGTACCAAATATTACAGAATATTTTTTTTGCAAAGCATCGGGGTCAAAGTTCTCCCTCACTTTTCGACTCCCTGGTGTCCTGAGTGGTCATAAGGTTTGCGTCTTCCTCTCTTTGATAAGCTGTCAGGCAGGCTGGGTTGAAGGTCCAGGACTGGCCGGCAAAGGACACGCGCAAATCTCCATCCCCAAAGATTTTGATCACCTTACCGATGTGGCCCAGAATCTGTAAACCAGAAGAAGAAAGAAGTTGGCGTGGTCTCTTTCTTGCACTCGGCCAAAGCGAACAGGCAGTGAACCAAATGCCCTGAACCAGAATCATTTGTATCCTGGCCTCTCCTGTCAGCCCCTTCATTCGGTTGAAAAAGTGTTGAGGACATGGTTGAGGTGGTTTTAAATGTGTTGTTGTTGTTGTGTTGTTGTTAATTGCGAAGTCGTGTCCGACCCATTGCAACCCCATGGACAACGTTCCTCCAGGTCTTCCTGTCCTCTACCATCTTCTGGAGTCCATTTAAGTTCACACCTACTGCTTCAGGGACTCCATCCAGCCATCTCATTCTCTGTCGTCCCGTTCTTCTATTGCCCTCCATCTTTCCCAACATTAGGCTCTTCTCCAGTGAATCCTTCCTTCTCATTAGATGGCCAAAGTACTTGAGTTTCAACTTCAGGATCTGGCCTTTTCAAGAGCAGTCGGGGTCGATCTCCTCTAGGACTGACCGGTTGGATCGTCTTGCAGTCCAGGGGACTCGCAGGAGACTTCTCCAGCACCAGAGTTCAAAGGCCTCCATTCTTTGGCGCTCAGCCTTTCTTAGGGTCCAACTTTCACAGCCATACATTGCAACTGGGAAAACCATGGCCTGGACTATACGCACTTTTGTTGGCAGGGTGATGTCTCTGCTTTTGAGTATGCTGTCTAGATTTGCCATAGCCTTCCTCCCCAGGAGCAAGCTGGTTTTAAATGTAGATCGATGCAAAGAAAGGAAAAAATAAATAAAAAGGGTGTTACGGGAAGGGAGCTTACCGCTGTCATCTCCTCCGTCCATTCTCCGTGACCGGCTTGCAGCTGTTTCACTGTCTCCATGTCGTCGATCACCCTCACGACATCGTCAACCCAGAAGGTGTTAAGCTACAAGGGAGAAGAGAACGGCAATTTTTCTGCGTTTTCTGGCTTGGGACTCGGATCACGTCAGAGGAAATCGAGAGATGATGATGATGATTTTCTTTAACAGATGAATTCTCCAACAGGGGGCATTCTCCAGGGAGATTTCCTGGTGGCCTTCCTTCCCAGTGCTAAACACCCCGTCCTGGCTTAGTATTTTGAGATCGACAAAGAAAAGGTTAGGAATTACTTCCTGGCTGGGTTTTATTTTGCTAGCTGTGATACTGAAGAACTCCTTCAGATGTTCCACCCAAAGAGCTATTTTAAACAGAGCTGAGTACAGATAGTTGCCCCCGACTTACGGCCACAACGGGGCCCTGAAATTTCTGTTCTGCCCCATTTTACGACCCTTCTTGCAGTTAAGTTAATCACATAGTTCTTAAGTGAGTCTGCCTTCCCCATTGACTGGTCAGAACGTTGCAAAAAGGGGTCACCTGACCCCTGGACACTGTAGTGGTCACAACTATAAGTCAGTTGTATTTAAATCTTGATCACGTGACCCTGGGGATTCTGCAACGGTCCTAAGTGTGAAAACCAGTTGTAAGTCCCTTTTTTCCCAGTGCTGTTGTAACTTTATATGGTCACTAAATGAGACCTACCTGTAATAGCTATTCGGCTCTGCGTAAAGACCAGTGGGTTCTTTAACTTGAGTCATGGTTATAGTGGGAAGGACTGGATACTCTTTTGTAGGGATATCCAATATAATTCATCCCTCTGGGAATCCTTTTCTCCTGCGTCAGCCCACATTCCGAGTTCTAGAATAATTTGCCCAGGGAATGAACTTGACCCACCTTGGTCAGCGCTCCAGGATGAAATGTCCAACGAGTGTCGTTGTTGAACTGGACCCTCACATCTCCTCGATCTGTGATCCTGTGTACTGTTCCTGTCTGGCCAATGAACTTTGGGAAGGAAGCAAAGAGAGGAAAGAAGCATGTGGCAGGGAAGAGAACAACTGAAGAAGCAACGAACAAACAAACAAACAAAAAAACTACCCCATCATCTTTGCTCCTCAAGAACGGGCTGGTCATTTGGCATTGTCCTCTAAAAGTGACCGACCACACATCTGTAGGAGATCCTGCCCCCTTGCAACCAAAGGGTGGACATTTGCACAAGCTTACCTCGGCCATTTTGGGGTTCCAGCCTCCGTGGCCCTCCTGCATCTCTCTCAAAATGTCAATGTCAAGCAGGCATTTCACCTTGTCCCCATGTTGGAACGGGTGCCCCTCCGTGCTCTCCTTTTTCTGCAGCTCGGCTGGCTTGCCTGGAGATAGGACCAGGGAGGGGAAGATTTTTTAAAAAAAAAGACAAAAATGTCAGACCTAATTCGAAGGTATTTAAGGCAGGGCTGTCCAATCTGGGCAACTTTTAAGACTTGTGTTAGGTATAAATTACAGTCTGCCCGTGACAGCCGCCTCTTCACTTGGGAAGGGACTGGATAACAACCCCCAGGATTCCCAGCAAGGCCCAGCTGATGATTATGGAAGCTGTAGTCCACTAGAGGGGGGGCAGAGTTCTCAACAAGGTCCAGCTGTTTATGAGGAGGGGGCAGAGATTAAGG